GAACGCAGGCGTGGTCCTCCGCGGCAACATAATCTCTTCCACGAAAACAGGGGTCACACCGTGGCGCGTGCGATGTCACCTTTGGTTAGATCATTGCGTAACCTCAATGCACTCCGGGACGCCAACACTGAATAGGGAAGATGCACATATGATATTTACGAAAATTTTATGATTAAAATGTTAAAAAAATATAAAAGAAATGCCACTGCAACATTTTTATTTTACATAATGTTGTTTTTTAACAATTATTACGAATTAAAAATACTTGAAACAGAACGTATTTTAAAACACCAATCAGCGTTTAGTGACGTCACTCCTGTTATGACAACTTCTCTGTGGTTATGGTTGTTAAAGTAAATATTATTTTATGGGAATATTAATTGCGTTTTTTTACATTTCATAAAAATGGAAGTTGCGTTTATCAAAGCAGACTCCAGGAATTTACCAAGAGTTAGTGTTGACATGGTTATAACTTTTTTTGTCCAAAGTGTAGAAATGAAAGGGACTAAATTACTACGGTATGTAAAAATCGTAGTTGGTAAACTTCGTATTTTATTCAGCGGCTTCTACAAATCTTACGGCGATAATGCAATCGGCTATGTCCAAATTAAAAGAGATGGAGAATTATGTACAGTAAAAGGTCCAGTTCATTCTCCAACTGTAAAATTAAAAATATGTTGTAGACAGGTTTTGTATGTATTAGGTGGGTTACTAATGCGTTTTTACGTACAAGCAGATTAATTAAGCATATAACAAGTATATTCGCCGACTTACGTCAAAGTGATTTTCACAGCATCGAATAATGGTCTTTAGAGAATAATTGTCATTTCTCTTCGCAGCTTGAAACCACTTTTTTTTCAGTTTTGGGTCAGAAGTTCCAGTCAAAAACAAAAGTAGATTGGCACAAAACATGAGTCAATACGGCTTTTTTTCGGAATATTAGTGGTATTGTTATGATCACATGATGTTGATGGATAGTCCATTTTAAATTTTTCAAAAAAATATTTCGAGAGTCGAAAAATTATGCAAAAGTATGAAAATTTAAAGCCAGCGACGAACAAGTACAACCAGTGACAGACAGGAGTGACGTCATCGCAACCATAGGTTCGTTTTCGCGCGAAAATTTAAATTGTCCATTTATAACCGCATTTTTTTCCGATAAATCACAATGTTTTAATTTTTTAATATATCTGTGGTTTATTCTACATGGAATTCTTTAAAATGAAAACAAAAATTAAAATATTGCATCTTCCCTATTTGACTTTTCTTTTGACAGTTGGTCTACCATCAAGTCAGCATTATTATGTTATTGTGAAAGTCTGACGGATCAATGGAGCAATACTGTTTGCGCTGACAATGATGATAGTGCTTGACATTAATTTTTGTTAAAACATATAATATTTATTTGAAATGCTTACCGTACCGACGTTTTATGACATATTATGACATCCATTTAAAATGTGTGAAACTTAAAAATGTAAATGTGTGATAAATGTAATTGTTCTTTGTCGTTTTTATCACAATAAATAAATAAATAAATATCCGGGGAAACAAAAGGGGAAGCTAATTTATCGAGGAATTTATCAGCCACTTCCTCATTTATGAACTTCTGAGTTGGTTCTCTGAACGCCGATCTACTTACGTAATATGGTACTTCTACCTTAAAGTATACGATGCAAGACACCACTAAAGTTGTGATAGTTTGTACCTACTGTGTGCAATGACCTTGTACTGCGTGCGGCCACGTGCAGCGCTTTGTGGTCCATGCGTCACTCTTGCTCGAACCGTACTTACTACATTACGTGTTTTGTACGTCGTCGAAAGAATGACGAGCGTACTTTGTCAGCAATGAATATTTTTATGGAAATATATATGTGATTTATCGTATAATTAGTATTTCACGAATTTTTACTAAATTATCAGTCTAACTAAGAAGTTTCATACTTACCGATAAAAAGAAATTCCTGCTTTAGGTAGATTTGATGCTTGACTCCTTGCTTTGCAAGTAATTACAGCACACGAAGGCATATTTTAAGCGATAATCACAATACTCTCTCACTGAACGTTCGCGGGCAACTAAACGACGCGATCGCGCGTAACGGTTAGGTTATGAGCATTTGCTCATAACTGGGACGCGCCTGCCACGCCCACAAGGCCATTCTAACCTCTTTCTGTGTTCTGTGACTTTGACAGTTGTTTTTTTTAATCCACCTCAACTCGCGCCCATAGATAGCAGCCATCCCAATACATGTATCTTTATGTTGGTTATACTCAGAGCGGCAAATTTAAATCTACAGTATCACCAAAACGATTTAATCGTTAAAAAAAAGGTAAATTTAAAAATCAAAAAACCCGACTGCTTATTTATACTTCAAATAAAAACTGAAAAGAAAAAAACAAGTCCAGTAGTCTATAATTCTGTTAATAAGGAACAAAGCTACTTTAACAGTCGGGACCCATTATTGAAAAATATTATGTAGTCTTGAATATCTAATGGGTCCCGACTGTTAAAGTAGCTTTGTTCCTTATTAACAGAATTATAGACTACTGGACTTGTTTTTTTCTTTTCAGTTTTTATTTGAAGTATAAATAAGCAGTCGGGTTTTTTGATTTTTTAAATTTACCTTTTTTATTTCACTCTTTTTAGTTAGTTAGTATTTTAAGACGGTATATACCGTAGTCTTGTTACTTCAGTAAGGGAATTAATATCGCGGGAATTATTAAGTACCTTGCGTCGGTCTAAAAGATTGATTTATTAAGACATATGGAGACTTTACCAGCGGGGTCAAGGCTACAGATGGGCCTCAATTTTCGCAAAAATGTGTGAAGTTAAATCAAGTCGTTACATAAATATCTCTAATGTATGTAAATTTTATGGTAAACTAGAACTTACTCATAAAGTCATCTTTTGTTTATGTTTTTTTTTAATAGTTTAGCAGTAAATATAAAATTCATTTACAAAAGTGAATACAAATTCGTTGACTATTTAAAATTGGCAGTGGCTGCATTGTCATGTCAACGCCGGACGTCTAAGATTGTGATATACACAAATGCAGTGTCAGTCCCTAGTCTCATAATTTGATATACCTACATTATTCACAGAAACCCAATATGTAGATGCCAGAAGTTAACTTCAAATATTTTTAATCACCTATATACAATACCAATCAATGACGTTTATGTCGCAGGTTGAAGAAAGCAGTAATTCCCGTTTGTTGTTTTGGACAATGGTGGCAACTACCTTAGATCACTAAATTAAATAATTATGCAATCTTTGCAGAATTATTACAAAACCAATATTATCGCGAGCTGATTAATAAATACAGGGATTCCAATAAGTATGTACTTACTAGCGAAAAATGGGTTATTTGTCATTATATTAAGTAAACCTTTTTTGTAACATTAAGTAATATCGATAAAAAAATGAAAAACAGTAAAATTCTGAGTTTTTCATTAAAATTCAATAATCATAAATACCTATTATGATAATATATTTTTCATCATTTAATAAGAGAGAACTGTATCACAGTTTTATTGTTAGTGCTTCGTATAGGATCAGATACTGCGAATAGCCCATTTTTTTTTCTTTTACATAGTACACCGCGCTATCACTTTGTCATCGTTGTAACTTTTTAAATATTTGTCGAAATGACATAGTGTAAAAAGCAAAGTTTATCGTCTTTAAATATCAAAAGCGATAAAAGTATTTGTTTTGATAAATAATGATTTGTTAATACAAAATGTGCATTTTGGAAATAGATATCAAATAATATTTTAGTTTTGATTCACTATTAAAAACATGTGTAAGTCATTACCGCTAATGACTTACACATTAAAAATAGATATATGGTGTCACGGACTTTTTTTTAGAACTATTTTAGAGATACATTTTCACTGTACATTACATTCATGTAACTTTTATTGTTTTTGCAGTGCAGGCCAAAATGGCTCGCAGATGGGACATTTTTTTCCGTCTTATGTGACACTTATTGTTATATATTGGCCAATTCACTCAATAACTACATAAATTATTATATATATGTAATTATCATATATGAGCTATATTACTGTTAAGTTTCATTAAAATCCATTCAGTATTTTTTAGGCGAAAGAGTAACAAAGATCCATACAAACGTAAGATTGAAATTAAAAGCGTAAGTGGTTAATATACAACTTTAAAGCGTTGTAGATCCTAAACGATCATATTAAATGAAAAATGGTGTTAGGAACCTAAATATGATTTTCGATTATCTAGACAGTGATACCCCATTCGACATATTTTCTCAACTTATTTTTTTTACTTCGTCACAATATGGCGCCTAATTTTTCCCATATTGAATTTTGATTACTATCATATCTTTAGTAGCACTCCCATGATTGAGACGAATCGATTGATGTATGAATCATCAAAATCGGTCCAGGCGTTTGGTCTCTAGTGTGCCACAAAGGAACAAACATACATATATAGACTGTTAAACACATAACCCTGTCTGCGCGTCGCGCTTCGCGCTCTTGCATTGCGCAGCCGGGTAAAAAGGACCGTGGGCGTTTAGGAGTATGAGTCTGTATGAATTGTTGGGCCTGCAGGCCATGTTTGTTTTAGTATTTTATTAGGGACCGCGGGCGTTACGAGGTTAAGGCAATATACTTATGTCGTGTTGTGTTGGGATGCAATTGGTTTCATACATTTAGTACCGTTAGAACTAGTGTGTCGCGATGCGTAAACAGTGTTCTTAATTTCTCGTACTAAATGTATAAAACCGATAGCTCTCTGACGCGTCAGAACACAAAACGACAGATTAGAGTACTTCTGCTATTATTTATTTTCTTTTACATATAATTTCCTTCGACTTCGCAGTGGATTTTGTGTCAGCCGAAGCAGCATATTTTAAATGACGTCCCATGACCTTGATACTTCACAAGTATCGGTTGTATTTAGAAACTGCAAGTTAATCAAACAGCACTCAAAGAGGCGAGAGGGGCGAACAGAAACAACATTACTTTTTTATAATGATCACATAATTATATTATAAAATGATTTAATTACAATAAACAGAATAAGTATCATAATGTACCTAACACTACGAACAACTTACATTAACGCAAAGCGGACAGGACGTTCCTCTCATATTTACATTTTGTACATTGAGCGCTCGATTCATCGTAATACTTAACTACCCTCGCGCGGTAATAAATAGGGCGGGGGAGGGGGACAGGACTCAGGGGGGGGGGGGCGGGGGGGACAGTATTTGCGCGCGAGGTCTCGTCAGCTATTTACAAGGGGGGAGGGGGTGCGGCTCGGGCCGCGAGCTAAGGTATGTACACTACAACTGCTCGACGAACTTGGTGAGTTGGTCTTGCGGCGTCATGGAGGGCAGGTTGTCGTCGACGGGCGGGTGCGGGTGCGGGTGCGGATGGGGGTGCGGATGCGGGTGTGGGTGCGGGTGGTCGGGCCGGCGCGGCGAGGCGGAGTGGTCGGGCGAGTGCGCGCGCTGCACCACGCCGCCGCTGAAGCCGTAGCGCGCGGGCAGGCGGGCCGCGCCCTGCACCCCTTGCACCCCGGGAGCCACCGCCCCCGCGGCCTGGGCGTAGGGCGCGCGCATAGCCATCATGGAGCCGGGCGCGGGGCCACCGCCCGCCTGCTTGTACCACCCCCCCGCCCCCGCCACGCCCGCGCCGCCCATGCTCACGCCGCCCACGCCGCTCACGCCGCCGACCTGATACGACAATACAATATCATGTTAGACATTGCCATCTATACAGCCCCTCTAGCATGACCACCGAAACGGGATATGATAAAGCGATATATCGGCATTAACTGTCAGACTACTATGGAGTTCGACAGTAGTCTGACAATTAATGTCGATATATCGCTTCATCATATCCCGTTTTGGTGGTCATGCTAGAGGGGCAGGGGCGACTTTCCTATAGGAAAGACTCTAGGGGGCGCCAGCCGGGCCGGGCGATCAACATCTGAATGAATCTTTCAGCAAAATTGACTTATTCCGTTCTTTCAACGTAGCCATTCGGCCATTCACCACCCACTCAGGTTGGATGGCAGAGGCTGTGTATGACTAAAGCCTAACATACCTCGACCTCTTTATGCATTGTAGTGATGGGGGATTTTAACGCAAAGCTAGGCGAGCGAGAGGGTTCCGAGATGACAGTGAGCAAATTTAGTTATGGGCAGCGAAACCCAAGGGGCAAATGCTGGCTGACTTCATGGAAAAGGAGGCCTTCTATATGATCAACTTCTTCAGCGTTATGGGTCTTCAGCCACATCAAAGATGATATTAGTATCGGTCTCTAACAACTGCAGAACAACAAAGCAACAAGAGATGACGGAATCACAGCAGATCTCATGAAAGCGAACGGAAAATTTGTACGTAAAATCATTTCGCTATTGTTCCATTCCGTTATACACGAAGGCGCGACGCAGGTACTTTTCTTTGAAAAAAGGTGACAACACCCTATTGAAGATTCAGACTCATCTCGATGTGACACTATCGTTACATTTATTTCAAAAAATATCAACTACAGCGAGGAATGCGACAGTGAGGTCGGATCTCCCCGAAGCTGTGTTGCAAGACGTTTTTTAATCTTCTTTATTGGAGCGAACTTGGCAATCAACGCAGGCTTGGATTCAGCCCTCAAAAAAGATTACACACAGCTAACCAAAAATCGGCCCAGTGCGATTCGGAGAATGCACTCGCTCATTATAGATATAGTGCATTCCTACACAGATTTTGAGTGTAGTTCCACACGTGCAAAGCCGTGAGGCAAACACTAGTAGGTAATTGATAAACCGCTAATATGTTAGTTTATTCTCTCGAAAATTACAAAACTAACATGTATTTGTTTGCATAATATAATGTTGTCATGTCAGTTAGTTACATTTAGACTAAAGTACTTAAACGAAATGGGTGGTAAGGAGTTTACTATCTAAGCGCCCTAACTGCCAACATTACTTGTTCATAGTGCCCCTATTGATTAACGGACGAGGATAAGGCGACAGATGTACGGTAGTATAACCGATCTTGATCAGGCCAGACTGGGTAAAACGTCAGAACGATGTCGGGGAGCAGCGCATGACCTGCGTGAACATTCATTAGGCATAAGAATATATGGGAAAACACAACAACGACAGAGGTGCTAAGAAGCTACGGAAAGGATTCCGCTGTCAACATTGGCGACTAGACCTGGTAACATATAATGCATGTATTTTGAAGTCCGACGAGAAGCTCGTCGAGCTGAAGTGTGAATAAATTTTGCTGTAATTATAAAGGATTATCTGAAATCCGAAGAGGATTCGATGAAGCATCAATCCGGCAATTTTCGACTTCATCGTCCATGAACAACACTCAGAATTAGAGAACGGTATTCGTTGAAGGTCTTGAAGGTCATACGTATATAGGTTTATGCGCAAACCTAGGCACAGCATGACAAGATTTATTCAAATTGGATGTATAGTACTAAATAACTCTATAACTTTTAAATCGTCCAAAAAAAATATTTTTTCCCTACCACGCGTTATTGTACACATTTCTCAGCTGCGTACAGTTCAACAGACTATTATCGCCAGTTATACAGTGAGGAGGAGTCACTATCTGAACCAAGGCAAGCGAATGTCTATGAGGCGAAGACGAAGAAGAGATTCCATGCATAATGCGCGAAGGAGTTCTGAAAGTAATATTATCTCAGAAACGAGGAAAAACATCCGGCGCAGACAGCATATCTAACGAAATTTTAATAGGGACGTGTATCCAAAACACTAAACTATGCAAAGAAACGTAGTGAGTCTCTTCGGTGGTGTCGTGTGAGGCGGGTCGTTACGTTCCCTAAAATATGGTTGAGCGAAGCGATGGCTGGTTCAAGCGTCATGCTCGTGAACGGGTGCTGCTAGCAGAGATGAGTCTGCCCTAAATACTTTGATATTTAATATGTCAATGTTTAGTTACACCTATTATAAATAACTATTTGTATTTATACTATATGACACAGCAATCAAAATGCAGGTGAACAATTAATGTATAATTTCACATTATGTAATGAAAGGTGACTTCATGAATCAGCTCTGCAAGTCATTTTTCAACTTGAAGATTCTGTAAATAATAAAACAGGGAGAAAAAACAGCCCTTGCTGGGTTTCTTGCCGGTTCTTCTCAGTACAAGGTCTCCCGCCATAGATTTACGAACCGATGGCGTAGCTTAGACATTCATATGTGCTTGTAACAGCCTAAACTGAATAAATGATTTTGATTATGATAAGTAAGCACTATTTTGGTTTATAGATGCAAAAAGATAGACAGGTCAATACTTAGAAAAGAATAATCTCAACAAACAAAGGGTACAAGGTAAGTCAATTTTAGAGAAGAGACGGGAATGGAAATGCTCTAATAAAAAGAGCAGTTTAAAAAAAAAATAGAAGTCTCGTTTAGAAGCACAAAAAATTCCTTAATATATTTTTTAAATTGGCTCTTATTACTGTAGAATAAGAGTATTTTAAAGAATGAAAAGCGAGACACACACACAGAGACTTTTGTTAGGAAACACAACTCAAAAATCCTATAAATGTACACTATTGTATAAAGAGGTGTAGTTTGTAAATTGTGATATTGTACGGGGGTAATCTTTGGATTTACTGAACAGATTTTTAATAGAATAGAATAATCTTTATTTGCATTAAATAGGGTTGACAAAAGGTGTTTGCATATAAAGCATATGTTAAAAGCTAAGAATCTTAAACCTATTTAGCCATATTAATAGCATGCAAAAAATTCTAATATATTAAAACATAACAGTCATATTAAATTTACCTATCATTCATTTAATAACAAGTATTTTATCATTATAATTTAAATTCAAATTTATGTCATTATTAATTACAATTCTCAATGCCAGTTCTTAATAAAAATATTTTATGTCAATTTAGTGTGATATATCTATAATAACAAATTTTTTCAGTATGATAATTTAAGATTATTATTCAATTCAATGTCAATATTAATTACGATTCCTGACGTTAATTCAAAAGTAATATTCATGTCAATATATTATATGCATTCAAAATAAAATTAATCCAAAATCGACAATCATTTCAATATTCAGGACTTATTTTTTAAAAATTCCTTACAGAATAGAAGCTTTTATCCAATAGCCAATTTTTTAATACTATTCTGAACCTGATGTAGCGTAGTTGCTTAATATTGTCAGGTACTTTATTATATATTTTTATAGCCATTGCATAACCATTCTTTTAGTTGCTGGTATAGGTGGCTGTTTTGTTTAACAAATTTTCCCATTTCTAATACATATAAGCAGGGCATTGTCAATATGTTTAATGCTTTGAAGAATGGTCTGCAAGAAACATCTGGTGCAATGTTACAAATGGCTCGAATACATTTCTTTTGGGCAATGAATACTTTATATCCGTACCATTTCCCCATGTTATGAGTCCATATTTAAGGCAAGATTCCACATAAGCTAAATATTCTAAAACTGCTGTCTTTCTGTCTGTAATTCTTGCAAGATTATATAAAGCATATGCGAAGCTATTTATTTTTCCAAATACATTTTCTATTTGGTCTCTCCAATTAAGCCTGCTATCTATAAATAGACCCAAAAACTTACCTTTTGTAGCCCATTTAATTTGTTTTCCGTTAAAGTTAATATTCGTCAAAGAGTTTTTAAAATTATTAAAATTAATTATATTGGTTTTGTTAATATTAATTTGAAGATTATTATCATTTAGCCAATCTATTATGGATGTCAAAGTATCAATAATGTCATTTCGATGTTGTTCCATTGTGCTACCTTTATTAGTAGAGACTAACACTGAGATATCATCAGCAAATATAGTAAATTTATCGTTTGAACAATTTGTAATGTCATTTATATAAATTAGAAATAGCAATGGACCGAGTATACTCCCCTGTGGGACGCCAATATATTTTTTTTTCAAGACTGGATCTGTAGGTATGTATCGTATGTTTATTACCTATTTGTTCTATTTCAACAAATTGAACTCTGTTCTCTAAGTATGATTTTAACCAGTCATAGGCAGGACCTCTTATTCCGATCAACTGTAGTTTACCGAGTAGTTTTTTGTGTGATACCCGATCAAATGCTTTAGGCATGTCAATGAAGGCGACTGAGGTGTATTTATTCTCATTAACATTTTGTAGATTATTATTTACTAAATTATACACCGCTGTGAGTGAAGATTTAAGTTTTTGAAAACCATACTGTCGTGCACTTATACTTATACATCAAAATAATTAAAATATTTTCGAAAAATTTTAAATCAAGGTAATTGGTCTATAATTATCAATATTAGTAGTGTCACCTTTTTTGTACAAAGGTTTGACAACAGAAATTTTTAATCTTTCTGGAAAGGTTCCGATTTCCAGTGATAAATTTACTAAATGAGTTAGTATTGGAATTATTTCGGTTTTGCATAATTTTATTATTTTGGTACTTATTGAGTCAAATCCTTCTAATGGAGTATTATTTAATGTCATTATTATCTTATTTATTTCGTTTTCAGTCACAGGGGTCAAAAAGATTGAATGATAGAAATTATTGCCTTTATAAGTGTTTATAGTGTTATTGATAGTTGTTTTACTTATGTCAATGAAATGTTTATTAAATGTCGAAGCTATGTCTATGGGTGATTGTATGTCCTTTGAACATTCTTTTAGAAATACAAAGCCACGCTATTTATCAGTGTCATGGGCTTTATATTCGAACAAAAACTATACTTATTATTATACCTGCGACTGCTGCGGCAGCATCTGATGCATCTGCTGCAGTCGTTGCTGCTGCGGCTGCATCATGTGTGGCATCTGCTGCTGCTGCTGCGGCACGCCGCCGCCCAGCCCTACGCCGCACACGCCACCCACGCCGCCCACTCCGCCTACGCCGCCCGCGGCCTGCTGCTGGTTCTGGGCGTTCTGTGCAAGCGAATTGTACATAATATAGTATGTAATGCCTATATTGTTTTGACAACGCAATCAGCTTAAGGAGCTCTGTGGATTGTCCAATGTACCTTTTGGATAGGTTTCGGGCATAATTTTGTTCGTGTTGGTCTAAGGTATTTAATATCGTTGTTCAAGAGTCGTTCAACATAAGTTGTTTTGCTGGTAAATAATATTGTCTCCCGGTTCTTTAGCTGTCTTAAATTTCTTCCTCTGGGCGACAAAAGGAAACCAAGCCCAAACAGTCTTTAGTCTGGAATTAGCGTAAGTTGAGGTTTATTATTTTCTTTTAATAAACCTCGTAATACGCTTATGATGTCTGGTGATCATTAATGTTTGATTTTATTTAAGTATCTAATTTAGTCTTGCAACGAATATTCGGTTACTATTCGGTATTCGGCCTATTCGGCTGCTTTTATTATATTCGGCCGAATACCGAATATCTACATAGTATTCGGCTGAATACCGAATACTTAAATAATATATTTTGTCATAGAGAAATAATTGGTAAAATTAACATAGATTGATTACGTATATATTTATATTTTCATTTCTGTTATATAATTATTTATGTAGTCATTGGTATATAACACAGGTACATAATCATCTTCTGAATTGGAAAAATGGAGGATTCTATGTATTTGAATTATTGTGGTAATCAAAATAAGGTTCTCATTTCTTTTATAATAATTTATTACGTTGTCATTGGTACATAAAACAGGTACATAATTTAATCATTTTCTGTATTAAACAAGTTAACAGTTTTTAATTTATTCAGTCATGTGATGAATGGTTACAAATAGCAATAATTTAAAGTTTACGCGCCGTTTTTGGCCATATCTCAAAAAATGGTTTAGTCATTTAGCCGCATTTTAGCTTGAGGACGGCAGATTAGAACAAAACAAAGGAGCGCGAAACAATCACGTCTGTACAAGTTTTTGGCGCTAAAATCCAGCCGAATACTTTTGCCTAATATTCGGCTATTCGGTCAGGGGCCCGCCGAATATTCGGTATACTGCCGAATATACTATTCGTTGCAAGTCTAATCTAATTTAAAGTACTTAAATCATTGTTTTTAAAGTAAAAAGTATATCTGAAGATTTGGTAAAAAATATACTTTTACAGGTAACCTTTTCGTCATAATTGACAAGTCGTCAACGATGTCGTTTGGTTTCGATCCTATTGAGCTGTAGTCTTATCGAAGTACAGTTTACATAACATGAGAATACCAATCTTCGGTTGGACTCGGATCGAGCGACTTCTGAACTACAATGATTTGTCGATCGGTCATGTTTACGAGAATTGGGGTACATGACGTTAATTAACTACTGCTCATCAATGAGGGCTACCGTTTTCTGACTCACCAGATGGCGCCACTGTTGAGTGAGTTCCTAAATTGTAACTTTTAAAGTTTATTAATACGCACATGAAATCAAAGGTTACATTTAGATCGTATTTTAACACAAAAGAACCATATCCTAAACATAATAGTCCATGCCAGTGACGCGCAGTTCCGTTTTATTCGGAAAAAATGGTAACATAATCATTTTTCTAAGCTCAAATTTTTAATAACTGACATTCATTGCCACATAACTCATATTTGCCATAATTAAGCCGAATTGTTACCAATCATTCACAACATTATTTTAATTAGAAATAAACCCGCGTAGTCAACCAACAAGCAATAACATTTGACATTTCGGAGACCTCACGCTACACTAGCGCCTCTAGCGGCGGATTCATACGCGATAGCCCTCATTAAATTCATTAGTTAACGAATTTTGTAGATAAGCAGTTTGTATTATTATAAAGAAAAACCTGTACAAAAATATAAGGCAATATTTTGGTTTTAGCCATTGATTGATTTCAATTATAAAAAAAATATAATTTGTTTATATAAAAAAATACAAAATAACTGGGATACGTCTCGATTCTGTCGGGTCCTGGGTAACAAATGGCAGTTCTTCTATCGCGTAATTTTGGATAAACTGAAATTAAATATTATTAAGAACCACTTGTAGAAATTTTGCTAACTCGATTTAATAAATCAAATGAATCATGATGATGATGATGATGGACTATCCATACACGAGAAAGTCAAAATTTTAAATCCAGATTTCATATTTTAACAAAGTATGCCTAATATACGAGAGGAGGTCAAAAAATTCGCGGAATAAGAGGGAAGGAGGTTGTAATTAAACACCAAACTATGCAAGTCGCGGGTTGCGTGCGAGGGCGGGGGCAGTCGGCGGCTGCGTGCGGGTCACCGCAGCGCACGCAAGCAAGCGCGCGGTGACAGCCAAGGCTGGAGTGGCGGAACCCCTGGCAGCGGTGACACTGCGCGGGGGCGTTCTTCCTTCCTCTCCAGGCCTCGATGGTGATCCCGGACATACTCAGGAGGTCACTCACTGAGTAAATGGCCGGGATGAGGTCGGGGGTTCGGCGGAGTGTGGCGTAAAACAGCGAGCCGGGGCGGCCTGCTCGCGCCCGGATCTGCTTTGCATAGTCAGCGACAAAGCCCTTCTCTGCGAGGGCCTCGGTGACTTCGAGCGGCGTGGTGTCAAGGGGCAGTCCTCGGATAGCCACCTTGAGGTTGCGGTCTTCTGGGAGGGCGTGCGAGTACCAGCTCAGTCCGGCCTGTCCCTCCAGTCCGGAGAGGTAAGCCAGGACGAGCCGGCCCTCGTCGTCGTCGGCCGGTGAGAAACGCACGCCCGTACCAAACGGGCGTACGTTGGGTGGTCGTCCGAGCTGCTCATGGATGGCGCGCAGGTGCTTCGGCCAGTCCCGCAGCTGCTCAACCACAATCGGCGGGTGTCTACTGACCCGGTGGGACGTGGGAGCGCTGCGGGAGGCCGGTTGCGCGGCCGGCTCGGCGATGAGTGGTGCGGCGGTCGGTGATTTTTTTTCTTCAATTTCGGGGGTAGGTGTCAAAACTTTTGCGGCCTCGGCGTATGACTGCGTCGGTACAGCAGTCTGTGCTTTGGGTGGTTCTTGTTCTTGTGCGGCGGGGGTGGTTTCTTCCCTTGGCTTGTTTTGCTTGGTTGCGGGGGTGGTGGTCTTCGTGGGCATCGGCGCCTGGTTGGGTGCGGGCGAACTTCCCTGGCTGCGTGTCCGGCGGTGGCGCGGGTCACGCGATTGTGTCGCACGAGAGCGTCGTTCTTCCGGATTCGGTGCTGGAGATTGGGGCAGCAAGTGTACTGCCATCGGTGGTGGTAGCGTGAGGGGGATCAGGTTGATTGACTTCATGCACACAATTGTGCACCGGTCATCAGGCTGGTAGCTGGAGGTGACGCTCTCATCTCTCTCCAGGAGACGGAGGTAGACTATCAGCCAGCGTTGCAGCCTGGGGGACAGCAAGCCGCAGTCTGTTAGACGCGCAACCATCGCTGCGTCAAACTCATATTGAGCGCGATGCGATCGGCGCTCGATCGTGCAGGCTGCGAAGTAGGCTGTGCCTTCAGTCACTGACGGGTCAGGATACTGCGGTGTCGGGGATGGTGTCTCGTCCATGCTGCGGAGGTGGGGGCTACGTCTGCGCGAACCTGGCCGAGCGCAGCCTTACGGCGCGCTCAAGGCCTGCGGCTAAGGGCGCGGGAAGTCACCGCCGGCGCAGGATGGCGCCAGGCAGTCTCGCGAGCGGAAAAAAATACAATTTTTTCGTCGGAGAACTTTGGAGGTGGGTCGGTTCCGTGCGCGGCGACGTAGGTACGGTCCGGGAAACACATGCACCGTGCGGCTCCATCGTTAATAACCCGATTAGGTTCAAATTTGGTATATATACTCTTAATAAGGTGCTCAACTAGTGCCTACCTGGACGAGTAAATCTACCCCCACCAACCCTTCCATTCCGCGAACTTATTGACCTCCCCTCGTATTTAATTGGGTTTAAATGAGTTTAAAGAGAGTTTATATTATTTTTAAATTATTACTGACACCTCGGACTTTGCGGAGCGTGGCCATTAGTACCCTTAGCCTTAGCACGAACGAATATCAAATTCGAATAGGTAGCGAGTGCGAAATGTCATTGTCAAAATTTACAGCAGTGCCACATTGGCGTAACGAGAACTAAAAAACAGTACCCATTAGACGTATAAAATAAATCGAATTTAACTATTCGAATCTTAAATTAAAATAAAAAGGGAAGATACGGTACGCTCATACTAGCATCAAATAAAATAGGCTCCGGCTCAACTTCATAAGCAACTCTCATGCACGCGCACTTCTGTAAATAAACATTTAATCGAGCGAGCGAGACAGAGTCAAACAAACGGTTGAGCTACATTGTTGTCCTTTTCTTGATAACAAATGGCGAGTAAATAAATATCATTCATGACAAACCGTGATTTAAAAAAAAAAGAATGTTTTAAAGTTTTATGAATGAAAAGTGTTGCTGTGAAATTTGTTATTTGATGTTAAACTATTTGTGTTCTTTATAAAGCATCGTAGGTATTATTTTATCGTTTTAACACAAAATCATAGATGAATTATTGGTCTCACTTGACTCGACTAGATACCGTCGGCGTACTTGTCAAATGCGGCAACAAACACTACACCAAAGTCGGCGTACCCAAGCCAGTCACACTGACAGTTGTGTATAAGGTGTATGTACCGAATGTTATATTTGAATTTGATCATAATCGAAAGATAAATACAGTTTACAAAATTGAATAATATTATAATAAATAAGAGTATAGAATATTGGCCGTGGGGTGCCGGCATAGAATATTGCACCTCCTCATCTCTTCCCGTGGGTGTCGTAAAAGGCGACTAAGGGATCGCCAGGAGAACGGGCCGCAGCGTTCTCCTGAGTAACATTACATCTACTGCGATCGCCAACCCGCCTGCCAAGCGTGGCGATTATGGCAATAACCCCCCAAATGAATAAAGGCATAAACACAACGGCCCCGAGTCACGGCGACCCCGCTATTCCGGCTCACGGTGGCGGGCCTAGTAACGGCGGGGTACGAGGTGCGAAGAATCTCCGGTCGAGATCCGGCCACCAAATAAAACAGACTCTGGCCCTGGTAACACACAACATTCGCACGCTCAGGACTGACGAGAGGATTGCCGAGCTGGAAGAGGAATTGAGCAAGATTCGGTGGGACATTGTAGGGTTGTCAGAAGTCAGAAGTCCGAAGACAGGGGGAGGACACGATAACCCTCCGGTCTGGAAACTTGCTCTATCACCGGGAGGGCGGTGTCGGGTTTATCGTTCGTAAGTCTCTCGCAGCCAACGTGGAGAGGATTGAGAGTGTGTCGAGTCGGGTAGCGTACCTGATACTCAGAATAATCAAACGGTATTCGCTGAAGGTCATCCAGGCTCTCTACGAGGATATCTCGAAAGCCATCCGCTCATTCAAAACTCACTTCACTGTGGTTATGGGAGACTTTAACGCGAAACTAGGCAAAAGGAAAAGCGGTGAGTTGAGAGTAGGGCAATTCGGATTCGGGCAGCGAAACCAGAGAGGGCAGAAGTTGGCTGATTTTTTGGAGAGAGAAAATCTCTATATGATGAATTCCTTCTTCAAAAAGTCGCAACAAAGGAAATGGACCTGGATAAGCCCTAATGGTTCAACGTCAAGTCAGTGATCAACAGGGTGAAAACCGGGAGCGATCACCGAATGTTACGAGGCACATTGAATATTCGTGTCAAAGCCGAGCGGTCCAGACTGATGAAGTCTACTCTACGTCCCACACCTGCCGAGTACGAAAACCCCGAGAGCTTTCGACTCGAACTCCAAAATCGCTTCCAATGCCTAGACGAGTGCGAAACGGCGAACGATATGAACAACAGGTTTGTGGAAACTGTACACACGGTTGGGTCGAAATTTTTCAGGACTCGCCGTGCTCCTAGAACCGGAAAACTCTCTGACCACACTCTTGAGCTCTTGGAGCGGAGGAGGGAAATGACGGTGCAGTCTCCAGCCTCCTGGTCTAAGATGAGGCAGCTAAATAGACAGATCTCGAAGTCTGTGCGACGCGATAATCGACTCTACAATACCAAGCGTATTAAAGAGGCGATAGAGCGGAACCAAGGCTTCAAAGTGTTCGCAAAAGATCTGTCTATTGGGCAGAGTCAGTTGACCAGACTGAAGACCGACAACGGCACTGTCATTTCTTCCAAAGATGAGATCTTGAGTGAGGTCGAGCTGTTCTATGGACAGTTGTATAAAACATCCCAAACTCCTGTTGTCGGCTTGGTCCCAGATCCACGATCCAAGCTAACCCGACACTATACCGCGGATATCCCGGATGTCAGCCTGTACGAGATCAGAATGGCTCTCAAGCAGCTTAAAAACAGTAAAGCACCGGGCGATGACGGAATCACTACGGAGCTTCTGAAGGCGGGCGGTAAGCCGGCCCTCGTGGCCCTTCAGAAGCTATTCGACTCTGTCATCCTCGGGGGCATTGTTCCAGAGGCGTGGACCAGGAGCGTGGTGGTATTGGTCTTCAAGAAAGGCGATAAAACCCGCTTGAAGAACTATCGACCTATCTCGCTCTTGAGCCACGTCTATAAGTTGTTTTCGAGAGTCATTACAAATCGACTTTCGCGCAGGTTCGACGACTTCCAGCCTCCCGAACAAGCCGGTTTCCGAAAGGGCTTTAGTACCATGGACCAAATACATACGCTGCGTCAGATCATACAGAAGACCGAGGAGTATAATCGGCCCCTGTGTCTAGCGTATGTGGACTATGAGAAGGCCTTCGATTCGGTCGAGACTTGGGCGGTGCTGCAGTCCCTCCAGCGGTGCCAAATTGACTATCGATATATCGAAATGTTGAAGTGTTTGTATAGAAACGCCACTATGTCAGTCCGAATCCAGGAGAGAAGTACGAGGCCGATTCCATTGCAGAAGGGTGTCAGACAGGGCGACGTAATTTCCCCGAAACTGTTCACCGCTGCATTGGAAGACGTCTTCAAGCTTCTGGATTGGACCGAACTCGGCATCAACATCAACGGCGAATACATCACTCACCTTCGATTTGCAGACGATATCGTGGTTATGGCAGAATCCCTGGAGGTCCTTGGAACAATGCTCAATGACCTCAGCAGAGTTTCCCAACGGGTTGGTTTGAGGATGAACATGGATAAAACCAAGGTCATGTTCAATGTCCATGTCACTCCAGCACCAGTATCTGTTGGGAATGCGATTCTCGAAGTTGTCGATCATTACGTCTACCTAGGACAAACAGTCCAGCTGGGCAAATCTAACTTCGAGAAAGAGGTCAACCGACGAATCCAACTCGGATGGGCAGCGTTCGGGAAGCTTAGGCACATACTCACGGCCAAAATTCCCCAGTGCCTGAAAAGAAGGGTCTATGACCAGTGTGTGTTACCAGTGATGGCTTATGGGACTGAGACGTGGTCTCTGAATGTCGGCCTCATAACAAAACTCAAAGTCGCGCAGCGTGCTATGGAGAGGGCTATGCTCGGTGTTTCCCTACGTGATAAGATCCGAAATACGGAGATCCGTAGAAGGACCGGTGTGTACGACATAGCCCGAAGAATTAGTACGCTGAAGTGGCAATGGGCAGGCCACCTCGCTCGAGGATCTGACAACCGTTGGGTAAGAAAGGTCCTCGAGTGGCGACCACGTACCGGACGACGCAGCGTGGGGCGGCCCCCAACACGGTGGACTGACGACATCGTCAAATGTGCTGGGAGCCGCTGGATGCGGATAGCGCAGGACCGCGCATTGTGGCGTTCTATGGGGGAGGCCTATGTCCTGCAGTGGACGGAGAAAGGCTGATGGATGGATGGATGGATGAAAATAAGAGTGACATTGGGATCACATATATCAATAAGTATAGTAAAATTTCGAAATAACAATACAATATAACATGAACCCTAAACGTTGAGATTTTTGTAATGTTAATTTATCGATAGTATATTTTATTATTTAATTCGTGTCTACTATTACTAATTATATTATTCGATGTTTATCTTTATAATCTTAACCTTATATTCTCTGATTATTTTTAATAATATTATTTTCAATACAGTTGCTCGAAAACTGATTCTAATTACAGTGTTTAGTTTCATAATTTAGCATATTATCATACTTGTGCTGTTAAAATATAACGGTACAAGTGCTGTAATACATATTTTTAATTTCAGCAAAAAATTATATCTTTGTAAATTGAATATTTTAATGAATATTAAATTATTTTAGGGTTAAGATGACAAATAAATATTTATTTTCATATTTATAAACACAAATAATCTTAACTAACGTATTAAGAAACTTTAATTTATACTTAGTTTATTTTATTTTTTACATTGCTGCTGCTACGGCTTATTGCCGTAGCCGATTTATTAACAGACTTCAAAAAAAAAAAAAATCTCAGTTTGACCGCGTTTGATTGTCCGCGTTTATCTTAAAAAACTACTAATCCGATTTGGATGGGTTTTTCGTTACATAAATGCGTATTTATCAGTATTAAAAATTATTCCCGATCTTTATATTGAACATGCGCCAGCATCTAAAATTACTACAAATGTCTATTTCTAATAGTGAAGTTGAGCAAAAATATTAATTCAACCTCTGATTTGCATTCTGGTATTCATCCAATAAGATTTTATTATTATTATTACCTGGCGTTGCTTGATGAAGGCGGCCATGAGCGGGGGATTGGACTTGAGGATCTGCAGGATCTCCTGTTGCTGGTTGTGCGTGGTGGGGGAACGAAGTGTGGCCATCAGCTGCTGCAGTGCCTTCTGGTGCATCGGCTGGCTCTGTTGCTGCTGCGGCGCCGGCGCTCGCTGTTGTTGCTGTATTCATAAACGATAATATTGATCAAAATCACGCAAATTAAAATGAAATTGATTACAAGTACGATAAAGTTATGCCAGCAATTCACTTGGCCATTCTTGTTTGCTATTTGTAAACTTGACATCAGTCTGTCCTTTTCATTCCAAATAAGCATGATAAGGACAGACTGCTGTCAATTTCACAAATAGCAAACACGAATAGCTAAGTAAAATGCCGACATTACACAATTAGAAGCTATTTGCAATAAGCGACCGCAGTCACCCGCGACTTTAGTCGACTACCAATCTAATTTTCAAAATATAAGTCACAGAAATGTGACACATGTCACATGTCTTTACTTGTTAACAAGAAGAAAACAAGAGTACTAAAAAAGGCGCCGGCAGCCGCTAGTTCCGCGGCGGTATTGTGTGCAAGTTTTGCGTAGATATAGAGTCGTGTGTTGTTTTGCAGTCACAGGAACTGCCAAGTCACGGCCGCTACAGTAAACAATGGTTTATGACTATCTAAATAAGTAGGAACAGCGCGCGGCCAGCGGTTTAGTGGAAAAAGTTTTGCATGAGTGCAGCAAGTGTGCGCGCATTTTGATGGCTGGGCTTTAAGCTAGCTCGGCGCGTCGGTGCAAACCTTTGCTTATATATGCAAGGTCGTGGCTGAGCCCAGTGTTAATTTAGTACACTCAAATGCGCTGTCTGCTACTGAGTCTACAAGACCCGCATACTGATAACGCGGGGGCACTATAGTAGGGGGCCAATTACAATGCCTTGGGGTATCCCGGGTTATCATCTCAGCCGTACGACGCCCACAGCTAAACATAGGCCTCCCCCAAGAATCTCCACGACGAGTTAACAGTAACTGGTATTCCTTATAACGTGGGGAAAATATTAGATGGGGACCTATTACACTACCTTGGGGACAATATAGGTAGGGACCGAGTGCACTGCCTTGAGGTGTCCCTCTCAATACGGTTAGCGCGTTCGGCTGCGATCGTTGAAGTTAAGCAACTTTCGCAGTGGTCGGTCTTTGGATGGGTGACCAAAAATCTTCTATCTCGAGTTCCTCCGTGCTTTGGAAAGCACGTTAAGCCGTTGGTCCCGGCTGCTTCTGCAGTCGTTAGCACCCGCCAATCCGCACTGGGCCCGCGTGGTGGGTCATGGCCCAATCTCCCTATTCCATTCATAGGGATAGGCTGATGAAACACTGTACCTGTAGCTGCAGCGGCGGCTGCGCGTGGTGCGGGTGCCTGGTCAACAGCGACACGGTGTGCTGCTGCAGCGGCGGCGGCGTGCGGTACCGCGCCGCCCAGTCGCCGCGCGCGCCGGCCCCGACACCCACAGTTCCCACGCCCACGGATCCCACACCTACGCCCACGGGGCCCACGCCCACACCCGGCGGGCCCATGCCGCCCTGCTTGCCGTATGAAGGCGCTTGCTGCCGCGCCGCTTCCTCTTGTACCTGCGCATTTATACATCAACAACACGAAGTTAATGAAAAGTTTTATAAACTGCTACACTGGACAGTAAATAAACCGGGTGACTTGATACCTTGGCACTCAGATTTAATTTTATCAAAAAATAATAATTATTGTTCGGTGCTACGCAAACGAACAGCGCAGCAATTTGCAATTCAGCAAGTTGCACTTTAAACACTCAAAACGCTGTCTACCATGATTGTGACGTCAGCAAATTAGTAAATGTGTTAGTAAACAACTAAACGTCATTGTCGTGTTACTGTGGTGTCTTTCATCGGACTAAAATATATCTAAAAACTCTTACATCTTGTAGAAAAAAATCCGTTTATTGGTTTTGTTGACTAAATTAATGCTGGACGCGGGATTTGTGAAAGCAGAAACGACAAAACTCTTTGACTTAGTAGGTACATTCATATCCTTAAAAATTGTATTTTTAAACTTTAAATAATATTCAATGACATAAACATGACTGTGTTATGTGTAGGTATGTGTATTTCTCTAAGCAATTAAAACCACAACTTTTTTGTAGTCTTTAACGATGTGTTTCTACATTCTCGTATAATACAATCATGATAATTATTATATTTATCATGAAATCTAATAGAAATCATGGTTTTATAATGTAAATTTTGATATAGGTTATTTCCTACGTGCTTCCGAATTTTTGTTTATGATTTTGTTGACGTCATAGCATAGATAATCTGTAGACTAAAATGGCCGACAGCGTTTTTGTATATCCATGAAAAATCTATTTTAAAATTAAAGTTTTTTGGCTTTCTAGGTCAAAAAAATACAACACATTTTTTTCAGTCTAATAGAACAATTATTAACCATTTAAAACATATTTCCAAAAAGTGTCAAGTGGCCAATTATTATACAGTTTTACACGGACTTTGGAGTTATTCTTTTTTTACCATATAAACAAAGGGATCTGGACGCTAAGCATCGAGCGGACAGAGAAACCTTTTCACTTATAAATATCAAACATTATGCCTACAGAATGTGTCTTTCATGATGAATAAAATAAAAAGTAAATTATTGTGATTAATCAATTTGTAGCAAAAATACAAGAAGTGATAAAAACGTCTACGTAAATAGAAAAAGCTTTGATAGTAAGTTTAATACTTTTTGAGAAAATCTGCATCAAAATGTGAGTGGCTTGCTTTATTAGCTGGCGAGTTTGTGGTGGCTTAGCATGATAACATGCGGGTGCAGTGCAGTATATCAGGTGCCGGAACATCGCCCGCACTCGAGCACGGCGGGCGGGTGGGGCGGGGGCAAGTGTGTGTGTACCTGCTGGAGCGCCTTCTGCACGTTGTGCGGTAGGGCATGTGCGGAGGGCGCCGGCGCGGGCTTGGAGGGCGGCGGGGAGGCGAGCGCGGCGGGCGGGTGGGGCGGCGACGAGGCGCCGGGCGCGGCTCGAGTGTTCATTGCCGCCATCCGCCGCCTCAAAAGCTTCGCTTGCTGCACCCTTTGCTGGACCTGCTGCTGCTTCAGCTTCTGCTTTATGCTGCTGCAGAACGGCACTGAGCATTTCGTCTCCTGTGCGATGTGAAAAGTATTACACGATCATTAATTAAATATATCCAAAGAATTCAATGTTAGTGAACGAGAATTCTTTCTACTAGACGATAAAAAGCCTTGGTTTGCCATACTCACAAAATTCTCATTTTGGACCCTATCTGCCTTATACAAAATGTTGGGAAAATTTCAACCTGGGGCCCAATTCTCCTGGTGTTGATATTATATCACCTGTTATATATATCAAATGAACTGGCTTTTATCAAAGGAAAACCATTTTACCCTATTCTCACCATGTCACAATAGATATTTATCTACGGATGATCAGTAGACATACATCGACTGGTAAAGAGCCTTCGATATATAAATATCTATGGATCTCGGCTTGTCAATCTTGTCATTTCACTTTTTTTTACCTATTATTTATTCTGTGTTGTCGTGTTATTGCCAATTATTGCTACCTAAAGATGTTGTTAACTGCCTTCTAAAAAAATGTTAATTATTCTAAATTATATGTTACAAAAATTTCCCACTTATTTTTTAACATGTCAAATAATAGTGACAAGTAAAGTTATGAATGACGTTGTCTTATTGACATTGCATTTTACTTAATGTTGAAATTATATATGCATACAATTTAAGTAAAGTTGAGATTTCTTATTCTCAAAAAATGTAGTCATATTTAATATGAATGGCATTCATAAAATACTGCTTTAATTTATTATAATTTTGTATCGACTATGATGTTAATTTATTCGACAAAAACGGAACGCATTCATCAGTGAAACAATGTCTACGATTGATATAATATCATTGGAATATAGAAAATCCACGACAATAGCAGTCTTTGCCATCTGTAGATATCCCTACTTTTGATATTATATCACCTTTGATATATATCGAATGAACTGGCTTTTATTGAAGGAAAACCATTTTGCCCTATTCTCACCATGTCCCAATAGATATTTATCTACGGATGATCAGTAGACATACATCGACTGGTAAAGAGCCTTCGATATATAAATATCTATGGATCTTGGCTTGTCAATCTTGTCTATTTCACTTTTTTTTACCTATTATTTATTGTGTTATCGTGTGTCATTGCCAATTATTGTTACCTAAACATGTTGTTAACTGCCTCCTTAAATAAGGAGTAAATAAAGAAGTAGGTAAAGAAAATATAGTAACGATGGATGAGTTGATTCATGTTTTCGTCATTGACTTAATGAATAAAGCGACTGCTGCTGCTGTGCAAAGGCGCCGCCGTCGTTGGGAGAGCAGGAGGACCCATTTGAAATGAGGGACGCCGACTTTATAAAAAAAATACGTTTAAACAAAAATTTGGTTAGATATCTTTAACGTGACAAATAAAGTTATGAATGACGATTTCTTATTGACGTGTCGGTTTTTGGCGGGACTTCTTCGAGTGCGGTTGGCGTCCTATTTTAATTGTTCTAAAAGTCGTTCATAGTGAATATTGCGAAATAAACTTGGTGTGATTTTGTGTTACAACCTGCGCAACTGAAGAATTAATGGAATCTTTGAAACATACGCTATTCCGGTCAAGAGCACGTGAGAAATTTATTGTAGTGTTGACTACTTCACAAAAGCTTATCGTAAAAGCCAACTCCATACATTTCGTGCTAAACACTCCAAGAAACATTAGAATGCATCACATCGACATTCTAATGCAAAAAAAGAAGATTAATATATCTAAAGACTAGGCTGTATGGGCATTGTTCCCTTTGCCTTCCCTTAGAAGAATCTTAAAAAATATTGACGTTTCATTATACTTAACATTGAAATTAAATACGCATAAAATTTAGGTAAAGTTGAGATTTATTGTACTCAAAAAAATTATACTCATATTTAATATTAATGGCATTCCTAAAATATAAAATATCATTCTTTTGCTTGTAAAATACTGCTTTAATTTATTATTATTTTATATAGACTATGATGTTAACTTAATCGAGAAAAACGGAACGCATTCGGCAGTGAACGAATGTCTACGATAGATATAATATCATTAGAATATCGAAAATCCACGAGAATAGCATTTTTTGCCATCAGTAGATAATTTCAATAGATACTTTATATATTATCCCGAAGCCGATATAATATCTACGCCGCGAGAATTGGGGCCCTGGTCTAAAATTTATGCTGACTTTAGTTTGCTAAATAGCAGACTGTTGACCAATCCGCATTTTGGAATAAGGCATTATTTGAAAACAGTTTTTTTGATAATTTGCAAATTACATAAATTTCCCAAAGAGGTGAATATGCGTAGCCTTCGCCTAGTATACTCACTTAACTATATCTATAGTTTTTAAATAAAAGAAAACATTTTTTTTTCTTTCGGCACTATTTATCACTGTTTTTTGGTAATCATGAAATTGAAATATTTTACTTTGATCAACATTCAGCAGGAAAGGTTTCCCATTTGTGTAAAGCATAAATTATCCGACAGTTAAGATTTTAAGTCCAGTTCATCATTTTAATTACTTTGTAAAAGATATTATGAAAAATTGATTTAAGAATACGTGACACTGGCGAAATTGTGAAGGCACAATCATAAGCCATAAAATAAAGGAAACGATTTAAGAATAATGTAGGTAATTATCAGGCAGAAACAAAACTGCTGGAACATTCTTCAATAAAATCTAATAAAAAAATATTAGTGAATATGTCAGCTGCTGATTTTCCTGCAAAGATTGAAATATTTTCGATGTAAACTGTAATTTCAAAGACTTCATTGATGTCATTCAATCTGAACAAATTACTGAACTATTTGATAGCTTAAAAAAATGAAAACAATGGTTTTTATCAAGACATGATATGTACTTTCAGCTAAAAAAAATCAGATAGATAGACGATAACGACATACCTGGCAATGTTTCGCATGGTAGCAACATAACGCGATGAGTTGCTTGCAGATGGGGCAGTCGCCCTTCGTCTTCCGCTTGCAAATCTTCGTGTGGGTCACTACCCTCTTCATCTTCTGGCACGACGGCAGTCGGCAGTTGGCGTCTCTGCATTGACACGCGTGCACCAAACTTTGTATACACCTCTGTATTGATAGTTTCCGTGCTTCCTGAGGATTCGCCTGCTTCATATCTCCCGGGGAGGAACCCACGTCGATGTCCAAGCCTAGCTTCTCCATCTTGTGCGGGTGACCCTCTTTCTCGTAACAAGGAACACATAAATCGAAGTCGTCGCACACGGTGCAATGATACCTCGTTTCTACATGCGATTTACAACTATTGCAAGTGTAGACGAATTTGTCCGTGCCTTGGTTGTGTAATTCGTACAACATGCAAAGGGTGGAGAACCTCGCCCTTCTCGTCGACGAGAACTCGTAGTGGCGGTCCCGGGCCATAGTCAAGAACGCGTCACGGCCGTCCATTAAGTCACAATTTAATAATGGGTCCGGGTCCTGGATTGGCTGCGGGAAGAGAATTTTAATGTTTTCAAATGGTATTTACCTAAAGTTGGTACAGCGACTTTTCGGCGGAAATCGCTTATAGTCTGTCGATTCTATTATTATCTTTTTGACAGATCGATCGAAGTAAAAATAGTGACACCCTATCACATAACTCATTTGTATTAAAGCTATAATCGATTTTATGGTAGAACATTGTTTAATCGGTTATGAGTATCGAAATTATTTTAGTTATCAAAAATACTGATGTTTAATAAATTATTACAAAATCTCATTAGATTTATTATTTTACCTAGTACAAATATTTGTGTGATGTGCATTAGTGTTTTTTCTGTGTCTGGGTGTGATTTATCTATAATATGTATATATATACAACAAAAAAAGCAGTATACTTTTTATATGTTTGTTTATCCTAATACTAATACCCTGTACAATTAGATTTATTGATTGACAGCTTTGATATCGACGCTATTCGTCGTCATAATACATATGACTATTATCAAAGAAAACCAATCGCAACCTTAAGAAAAATGCTTCTATCACTGCGAAATAGTGGCTTGTTTCGCGGTCAAAAGTCCTCGTTAGCAAAAGTGTTATGGCAAATTGGATTTTATTTTAAAAAATCAGTTATAAGGAAGATTTTGATGGAACGTCACGGTATTGCCTTGCTTGGTGCGCATTTTTGAGACAAGCGAAAAATATTGAAGACTGGCCCAATGTTGTTTTTACCAATGAGACCTGGCTTAATGCTAATCATAGTCTCAATATCGTGGACTGTCGATACTGCTGCCTCAACTTACACTGTACCTATTGGTAAAGGCCTTATCATTTGTCACGCTGGAACATCAAAAAGATTTGTGGCAGATGCTTTATTAGCGATCAAATCAAAAAAATCTGGTGATTATCACGAAGTAATGAACGCGGTAGTTTACGAAAATTGGTTTAGGGAAATGCTGTTATCGTTAGAAGAGCCTTCAGTGATTTTTATTGATAACCCATCCTATCATTCTCGGCAAATAAATAAAATGCCCACACAAGCAAATACCAAAGCAGATATTATTAACTGGCGTCGTGCTAATGGCAAGGATGTGGACGACTCCTACTTAAAAGTAGAATTAGTAAACATTTTAAATGAAAATAAACAACGAAAACGGTATGTCATTGATGAAATGGCAGCAGAATGTCGCCATATTGTGCTCAGACTCCCACCTTACCATTGCCAGTACAATGCTATTGAGCTTATATGGGCACAAGTAAAAGGAAACGCCGCAAGAAAGAACACTACGCCACCGTTCACAGCAAACAAGATGATGGAACTTTTAAATAACGCGTGTGGTGATGTTACACCTGAAAACTGGGCGAGTGTCATTGAACTAACAAAGAAAATTATAATGTCTGACCGGGATCGAGATATTGCCTTTGACAATATACAACAGAATGAACTCATCATTATTACCGAGGACACATATGATGATGACTCCAGTTTGTATGAAGAATCTGATACGTCTGAATAAGGCAGCGGACGGGACTCGAACCCGCACCCTCCGCAATCCGGGCGAATGCACTGACCATTATGCTACCATGGCTCCATTCGCCGCGTCGAAATTTTCCTAGCCTTAAGCTGCAAGGCAGCGCCATCTCTTCGCATTGTAGGTAACCCACAATGTCAAATGAATACTTTTTCAAGTATTAAACATTTGAAAGAAGAAATAGCAATTATAGTTATTTTTTAAGCATTTAACTGCTAGATGTTTAAATCTAAAGAAAAGTTTACTAGAAAAAAAAAAATTACTACTATATTATTTGTATGACATTTTAACGTAAACAATACAAAATTTCATGGGCGTCGATCTGTAAAAAGATAATAATAGAATGGACAGACTATAAGCGATGTCTAAATTATGGATAGAAACGCTTATAAAATATAGATATCAAGTGCAAGCAATTAGTCTTAAACTGCATTTTTTTGCGATATTGTATACACACGCATAGGTTCCCGTCATCATCCCTTTCAGAGTTTCACAAGTACCCTTTCATTTTCTCCCATAACTACACGTTAACGTCGCCGTATTAAGGGTATGTTAACGGCGTAATTTGTCTTAGGAAACAATAGAATGCCATATCATTGCCAGTAACGGTTTCGGAAAATATTCTATTTGTTGATAATCTTTACTATCTGCAACTACACTATATCTTTACAACTCTTGCTTAAGAGACAGACAAATTCAATTTTCTGTTTTATATTTACTATGTTAACTTAGATATAAAATTCGAACTAAAGTAGGGAGCTAAAGAAAAATAAATGTATACAAATATGTTAGCAATAAAACTAATCAGTGGTAGATGTGTCATTTGAAAATGTTGTCATTGAGAAAATTGCTAACAGATATAATATTGTTTCTGAATGACCATTTAGACATGTGTAAGGGGGTTAACTTAATTTTGTCGGACAGAGAAGTTATATTTGACAGTTATCAATTAAAATGATAATACTTTATGTAATAATAACCCATTCACAATAAAGTTGATATTGTTTGATAAATGTATAACGAGTAAGTAATACAAAACAACTTACAGCTAAGCTCGCCGCGGACTGTGCGGAATGTAGCCTTATAACGAAGAACACTTCCTTGTGTTTCTCCATGGTTGCAAATATCTTTGCACTGAGATCACTACCCTGCTGTTGGTCGCTCTGCTTCTTACTGCTTTTTCTTTGGGCGGCTTTCGACTTGTTCGATTTCTTCGCCTTCTTCTGGCCTTTCTTCTTGCCGTCAGGGCCTTGTTCGCTTTCCTCTGACGACTGGAATATCTGAAAATAAGCAAAACATATTTACATTAAATACAACTAGCAAACCAGTGAACCAAATGTTCACCAAAAAAAAAATAATTAATTGAGAACTTCGGAGATTTTGTGTGGTTTCGTTTGAAATAGAAATCACGTGATTTCTCGAAAACCGGAAGTGCTACGTTACTCAAATCCGGTTTGTAGTCTTATCAGACTATTCTTAACTTATAACTTAAACATTCTCTTTATCTATCTCTTACGGTTTGGCCGCTGAAACAGCACCACGGACGGACGGACGGACGGACTTGTCTAATAGATAAGAGATTATTATATCTAACTAGGTATCTGCATTAAATACAAAGTGTTTGCACAGGTTAAAGAACGATAAATTTATCTTTGTTTTATTTACTGATTACGACATTTACGGAGAGTATTGCATCACATTCTTTATCTTCAGAATTCTTACAATTATGTAAGACATTTTGATTTATAGCTAATTTTAATCATACTGACCACTGCTTCAGCGGCTTCCGCTTGCTTTCTCTTCTCCTCCTCTTCTTGGTCCAATTCCTTGATAGATTCTTCTAACACGTTGGGCCAGAAGTCACCCTCAAAGTACGGTAGCTCCGCCGCAGAAGAGATATTGTCCTCCATAGCTTGTTTTAATATGTCTTTATAATCTAATATTATCCTTTCTATTATACCTTTGTCTAACATTTTCTTGTACCACTCTTGTAACCTTTTAGGCTTAGGAATCTTTTGTTCGGGCGGATGGCAGTGGAAAATGTAGTCATCGCCCTCTGAGGGCGGGCAGGCCCATATATGAGCCATTGTATAGCCCAATTGTTTAGCGTAGTCCAAATAACCTAATAAAATCTCATGATAAACTGCAGTTCGGTACTGCCTAGGTTGGAAGAAATGTACAGAATCTAGATATGCTATATAAACACGCCTCGTATTCGGCGACGGACTTTCGCTGCCGTATTCCTGGAAACAAAACATTGTATATTATTTTCTCGTTTTCTCTTTTCTCGAAAACTTAATGAGACAACTAACATTTATTTAGAGAATAACAGAATGCTAACATACCTGCACATGCATACCAAAGAAACAAATATCGGTTCCGTCGACCTCTTCAAATGCAAATAACGCCTTAGCCCGATACGGGAATTCGGCACATAGCTCGCCCGCGTCGACGAATCTCGATTTCATTCCAGGTTTCACCTCCACCATCTACAATAAGAGTGTCACACGTTAGTTAGTCACTTATCCAACAGAAACAAATAAATACGAGAAAAAGTGTAAGACAACATCACCTTATCAGACGATGCGACCACCCTGATATGCACTTCACCTGCACTAGCCTCTTTTTTCTTGAGAAAATTATTGACCCTCGTCTCAATATAAATGCCAAGTTTCGACGGAGGCAACTTTTTAGCGCAAAATTTGTTATCTTTCCGTTTAGCTCCCTTCATTTTTAAACAATTATCACAGCAGAAGCCTTGAGGCCAAATTTGATCGTGATGCAGCACACAAATCTGATGCTGTTTCCTACCACAATCCATACACACTACAAACGGTTCTTGTTCTAAATGATCATTCTTCATTTCCTTGAATTGATCCTTTTTGATAGCACTATAAATTGGAAACAAATATTAGGAATAACAACAATAAAGTAAAAATAATAATAAATGAAGTAATCGATTTTCGATAGAATGTATAATCAACAATATCAGATATAACGTGTCAAATTAAAATGTATAAATTACTTAGATTAAAACAAAAAGGGAAGATATGGCACTCGCGGCTCAAAAGTGATCCGCTTAAATTGTGGTGCATGATCACATAGGTTATTCATATTCAGGATATTTAAACACGCTGCATGTGCTCTCAACATTGCTTGAATTGATCCTCTTAACAATATTGAGTATATTCTGTGCTATAAAGATAAAACAATTCCTTAGATTCTTTTATAAAGAATACAATACACACATAGTTCAAAATCAAATAACTAATGCCTCGGCAACCCTTCTCATTCGTAAAACTGTAAAATATTTTTTTTTCTCAATAATCACGGTTTGTGGTGAATGTTATTTACGTAATCGCCATTTTATTATCAAGAAAAGTACAACAATACAGCTCAGCCGTTCGCACTCGGAAGCGCATTCGCCGTTTCGTTCTCTCTGCGTTGAAGCGTACAGTTGTCTCGCTCGTTCGATGGAATGTTACTTACAGACGTGTGCGTGCCAGAGAGTTAGTTGCTTATGTTGTTGAGTCGGATCATATTTTATTTAATGCTAGAATGAGCGTACCATATCTTCCCTTTTTGTTTTAATCTAAGATAAATTATAAACTTTTAATAAAATAAGAAAAGTTTGCGAATAATTCTGTTTTGCATAGGCTGACGTGCTATTTAGCTGCACTTAACAATAGATCAGGGTGAATACTTACGTCTGCGGCTGCAGCGGGTCGTCGCCCAACGTGACGGTGTCCCCTTGGATGTCGTTGAAACATTTCTGGCAGAAGGTGTATCTATCGGACACAACCCCATACGCTTTTAGACTTTATTCACAATTTCATCCGTGTAGCGGTGATGTGAAGCGTGACAGGAACGTGTGCAGGCAAGGACGTGCGTGGAGGGCAAAAAAAATTAGTAAGCAATGAGAAACGTAAACCTTATTAGTTAGACAGTGAGCACAATGATAGGGTTACAATACAAGGTAACATCGAGACAAATAAATATATTATGTTAATCTAGCGACATCGAGTATTACATGTTCATAGGGCGGGCGCCAATAAATACAATTGAAATGAAAGTGTCTATTATTATAATTTTAATTGAATAAAAGCGAAATTTCCGCAACTATTAGTTATTAATAGCTCGCCGACTATTTCGTTATCATACTTTCGAGGTTGCGGTGAGTTGTAGCAGTAAAAAGTGGCAGAGCACTAACTTCTACGATTGTAGTCTAACGCAAGAATAAAGAGGAAAGAATAGATTTTAAAAATATTTATATTGTTACTAGGTTTTTGGTGTACAGTGTCGCTGTACAAAAGAAGTAAATCTTGATAAATTAAACAATTAAAGATGAAAATAAGCAAATAAAAAAATATTTAGAAATAATATTAAGTGTGGGACGACGACATTCAATAATAATAATAAGGTTAAATGCATAGTACTTCATTACGGAAATAGTAAGCATTTCAATAAGTAAAAAATATTGACTCTATGGTACAAAGAATGCATTATTTTATACTGGACAATACGATACTAGTGTTCATACAAAAGGACGCAGATCCTATTTGTTCCAACACAGCAAAACAGCGCGGTGTATAAGCTGTATTGTATTACAATGTGCAGTGATAATCATATAGCTCATTAGCAAATGACGCCGCGGTTGGCGTCACTTACAAGATATCATTTTCAATACGTATTTAAATAATGGCGGCACAAGCTATTACGCATGGATGATCGAAGTTACGACTGAGATTTGATTTTACTAATATTATTAATACGAAAAAGACTATGATTACGCGTTTTTTTTCACAGATATCACCAACAGAGAATAGTTTTAATAATTTTAAGATAACGATTACTTAATATGTATTGAGTCTAGTCGACTTGAGCAAGAAACCTCCTTTGTTTTGCTTGGAATACAGAGGGAGGATTCTCTGATGTATTTTTTAATGATTTTAGGTTAAACGCCGACACGAGTATTCCTATTTATTACACATACTTTGAACAAGTAATAGGAAAAACAATAAAGACTTAAACTTTTAGATCCTACCACTGTAAAACAATCTTCATTATTTGGTTATTAAATTTATTTGTCAACAGCTCATTGAATATATTTAAATAGTGTTGGAATTGTGGAATTCTTGTCGACTGCGTGGAAAATGATTATTGATTTACTAAAAATATACCCTTCCTTGTCCATGGAACTCATGTTTATATACAAGCACGTCCAAAATTTATTCCGCTCTAAATAGATTACTCGTATTGAGCATATTTTAATCTTAGTAGTAACTTTCAATTCAATTAAAGGTTAAAACCAGTTAAGAGCTCAATTATGCTATTAAATAGGAAACAAAGCTGTAATAAATAATAGATAAAGGGCTAATGAACGTCAATCCAATGAAACGATCCGATTTCGAATATTTGGTTATTGTGAAGCTATAATGAAGAGTAGCAATCGGCTTTATATAAGTTAATAACAATAAAAATATTTACTATTTTGAAAATGCTTGCAGAATTGAATACTGTTCTAAATGTAACATACATATTCAATAAAGCATAGCCCAATAATTACTACGACAAAGAACATCGATTTATTAACACTAGTTAGGAACATTAAAACTAGCAGTAAGGTGTCAAATGAGTCAGTAACGTTGTGCAGTGCAAGTACTTGATAAAACGTCAACAAAACATCGCACATTTATGAGATCACTTATTTGATTTAATATTTAATGTATTGTTAATAATGATATGAAAATGTAATGAGTTGATATGTTACTGCTCTTTTTGTTGAGTTTGATTAGAAATTCTGGCCTATAAAAAAACATGGATATTTTAACAATATAACTTAATTCTGCTTATGATAAGCAGACAAGCATGTTATGAATTGCTGTTTAGAACTCACACTTTTGATGTGCAAATTAATATCGGTCATTGTGCACGGCCACGATTGTTAAATTTTACCTAGTTACAAAGCAATTGAAAGAGAGATTTGTGAAGTAGAAATAAACAGTAAATGATGATTATAAACTAAAAGCCGGTGCAATCTTGATGTAAATTATTCACCATAGCTAACCAAAATCTATCAAATTCACAATAATTTCAGTTATGTGAAAATAATAAATAGGTTGAGGACATCAAACAGTAAAGTGGACCCAAAAAATCATGTTACTGTATTTTCATTTATATTTTTTGGTATTTAAACAAGTTTTACTGTACTAAAATAACATTCGAGAACGTAACAGTGTAAAATCGCTCTTGTAGGTACACAATAAAAGTTAAATTGTATGCATGATAAATGTTGAGTTAGCAGGTATAACATGATTTTGACACACATCAAACAAACGGGGAAGACTCACCTGTTTTGGTAACTGAAGTACTTGGCGTCGCGAGGGATGGTGCACAGCTGTTTCCCGTAGCAGCAGAGCACTTGCGGGTTGAATGTGTACTTTCTTCCGCAGCAGTAGCCCAGACTCTGCATAACAGGGTCGATCTCCTGCTCGAACACCTCTGACAACTGTGGATGAAATAGTTTGTGGGTAATCAATTATCATAATTTGCCTTCAATCCCTGTTTGGGGGTCTGAGCAATATGTTTTCTTCTCCCATACATACATGATGATCAGCTGTTATCTCAAAATTTATCTAATATGCTATCATAGCATGTGCAGAAGCCAATCTTCAACGAAATTACACAAACCAGGCCATATACATAAATCTTTTCAGACAGCCAAACAGCGCTAAACACCATTTACTCGAACACGATATTCCAGAATTTGGTGAAAGCCTGCATTGATAAACTGTATAACCTGGGTCAAAAGAATAAAGTTATTCTTAAATGGGTACCAGGTCATTCAGGGATAATCGGCAAACGAGAAAACTGATGAATTAGCAAAAGCAGGGGCACAGGGGCAACAGATGGGACCAGGACCTTTCTGTGGCATCCCTAGAAACCATGTTATGCAAATTCTTAAGGATGACCTTTTAAGCGAATCGAAAAAATACTGGTTAAACCAGCCAGGATTAGAGCATGCTAAATCACTATAGTCTGTCCATTCATTTATTATCTTTTTGACAGATCGACGCCTATATAAAATTTTATATTGTTTACGTTAAAATGCCATACAAATAATATTGTACTTCATGGACGGGTACCGCCCACTTAGTGATGTGCCACACATAATGATTACTAAGATTGTGCCCATTTTAAAAATTATCGATAGAAATAAATGAGTACAACCAAATTGTGAGGTAGAAACCAAGTAATTAAAATACTAACATTATATAAAGTTCATTATATAAATTTCTTCTTAGTTTATTTTTAATTGATAAACAAACATATAAAAAGTATACTGCTTTTCTGTTGTATATACGAGGTTTGTTCAAAAAGTATCGCGAATTTTGAATTTTCGCGGGCTACGTATGTTCGATTTTTGATCTTTTGGTGGCGTTATGTAGGTACTCATGACCCTCACTTATGTTGACAATTTCGGCCATTTTGAATGTCCAGTCAGTTTTTGACAGCTATTGTGCGTGGGCGTGTTTTAGTTTGTCTTCGATTTTCGTCTAATCCAAAAAATGGATCAAAGAATTTGTATCAAATTTTGTGTGAAGAACAACTTAAAGTGCGCGGACGCATTCAGAATGTTGACTGTTGCATATGGCGAAGCTACTTTGGACAAAAGCAACGTTTATCGGTTGTATAAAATTTTCTCAGAGGGCCGAGAAGATGTGAGCGATGAAGAGCGTTCCGGACGCCCGAGCACGTCAACAACAGACGAAAACATTGATGAAGTAAAGAAAATAGTATTGGCCAATCGTGGAATCACCGTCAGAGAAGTTGCTGCGGACCTAAATATATCGATTGGCTCGTGCCATTCGATTATTACCAATAGTTTGGGCATGAGACGGGTAGCCTCGAAATTCGTACCAAAATTGCTCAATTTCGACCAAAAACAGCATCGCATTAACATTGCTCAGGAGATGTTGGATTCTGTCCGTGACGACCCAAATTTGCTCCAGAGAGTCATAACTAGTTATACTAGGTTATGACGTAGAAACCAAAGCTCAATCATCCCAATGGAAGCTGCCGCACGAGCCAAGACCGAAAAAAGCACGCTATGTTCGATCGAATGTGAAGGTTTTGCTGACAGTTTTCTTCGATTGCAGGGGCGTGGTGCATCATGAGTTCTTGCCGCAGGGTAGAACGGTCAATAAGGAATATTACCTTCAAGTAATGCGCAATTTGCGAGAAGCAATCCGCCAGAAACGCCGGATTTGTGGAAGAACAAAAATTGGCTTTTGCACCATGATAATGCTCCTGCTCACACATCGTTTCTTGTGCGCGAATTTTTGGCCAAAAACAACACTCTAATAATGCCGCAGCCACCGTATTCCCCAGACCTGGCCCCCTGTGACTTTTTCTTGTTCCCGAAACTGAAGAGGCCCATGAAAGGACGACGCTACGCCACGATTGAGGAGATAAAGATGGCATCGAAGGAGGAGCTGAACAAGTTCTCAAAAAATGATTTTTCAAAATGCTTCGAGGATTGGAAAAAACGTTATCACAAGTGTATAATGTCTGATGGGGATTACTTTGAAGGGGACAAAATAGATATTCATGAATAAATAAATAATTCTTGAAAAGCATGAAATTCGCGATACTTTTTGAACAACGTAGTACATATATATTATATATAAATCACACCCAGACACAGAACAAATACTCATGCTCATCACACAAATATTTGTACTAGGTAAAATAATAAATCTAATGAGATTTTGTAATAATTTATTAAACACCAGTATTTTTGAAAACTAAAATAATTTCGATACTTATAATTAATTAAACAATGTTCCTGGATAAAATCGATTATAGCTTTAAATCGAACGAGTTATGTGATAGGGTGTCACTATTTTTACTTAGATTGATCTGCCAAAAAGATAATAAATGAATGGACAGACTATAATAGAGGGTTATATGAAAAAACGGACTGTTGAGTTAATAGAATTTAGCAGGCCTGACACCCGTGCTATCGTAAGATCCTTTACTGGACACTGCAAACTCAACAGATACCAATTGCATATGAAATTGAGTGACACTGGTGTTTGCAGATACCGCAATCAGGAGCATGAAACACCAAAATACCTTCTATGGGAATGTGGGCCTCCCATCCACAAAGTAGTATTCATTTGGGACAACATACAATACGCCCAGAGGAAATAAAATCTCTAAAAGCTAGAAACATTTTGAACTTCTAGGAAGCTGTGGGCCTAAACGAGATACTTTGAATTGGTGGCGAGTCACAATAGATCTTATAGGTCGCAGTGACTACAGTCACATTAGGACTGCATAGCCCCAAAAATCTAAAATAATAATATATCAAAATTTACTCTTTTCTATGTGATATCATCTTTCATACTGTATTCATCTTTTTTTCAATCTTCCTTACCATATACACCAACCGAAATAAAGCAGATCCAATCCAGCTCAAAATACGATATCATTATGATACAGATAAACGTCTCACTATATCGTATCGTATTGTGATGACTAATGTAGAACTGTGTATCAAATTGTTCTCTCATTCAAATCTCCGTCATTGAGTTCTAATCATTCTTATGACGCACTACTAAAGCTCAAATTTGAATGCTTGATCATCAGAAGTTCTAAGTTACTTCAAACAATTTCTTGTTGCATGGATGATACATTATGGGAATATTATGAAAACAAAGAAAATGACTAAAATATGCTAAAGATTCCACATGAATGTAAAAATAAATATACAAAAATACTAAAAACTTTAAGTTAATGATTACATACATGAAAGATTTCTTCATTATTCTTCCTTACATATAGCTAGTGATGTAACGAATGTCATTTTTTGAACATTCGCGAATGCGAATGTCTGGTACCGAAATTGGCGCCAATTGTCTATGGCATGCTGGCAGTCTCGTTCGAATTGCCGAGTTGATATGAACTCATCTGACTGAAGTGTCATTCCGCTCGCACCGGTCTTTCCGTAAACAAAGCAAGTGAATTTTGAGGTTAGTGATTGTGAGTGGTAATAGTGATTTATTAACATGAGTAAATCGAATTGTAGTGAAACATGGACTTATTTCACACTTTGCGATGCTGAACGAGCTAAATGCAAACTGTGTAACAATGAATATTCAAGGAAAGACAGAACTACAGCTTCTTCAAAATTGTTTTTTTCTAATATTCATATACGCAAAACATTCGCAGAGATTTTGCGAATGCGAATATTCAAAAATATGCGAATATTCGCGAACGCGAATATTCGTTACATCACTAGTAAGGATACCAATACCAAATGTCCTCAACTATAAATCTGTATAAGATTACTGCCAATATTAATTTGATATTACGGAAGTTGATATAAAAACACGTCAAGAACTAATCAATTCAGGTCTCACCCGGATACGCGCGTTTATTAATATGCCTATAAAACCCTATAGTTGAACAAAGGAACTTTATTTTTCATATGAAAAATTACTTAAAAACTTAATACATGGCAATTTTAAGTTTGAAAATATACGTAGCTAAAAATATAATAATAATAAAATAAAACGACTATTGCAAAATTTTTATAATTTTTTGAAATAAAAAAAAGTTAAAACTATGCACATAACTTCTCACTTGTATATGAAATGTGCCTTCATACATGTCTATTAGTAAGGTATTCCCTTTTAAGTTCGCACGATATGCACAACTAGCACTGAGATTGAATAGATTAATTACGAGTTATTGATTTTCACCCACATCTATCAATGTTATCATCACACTGTGAAAATGTTGCCAGAACGAAAAAGTACAGGTGTACATTTTTATCTCTCAATATTGATAAACACCAAATACCTACAAATATTGTTATTGAAGTTTTTCGCCGATATTGTGTAAATAAAAACAAAGTTTGAGATATTATATTGAAAGAAATAAAATATAGACTTTTCTCAATACGTGACAATGTGATCGTGCAGTTGAGCTTCATAAATAGTTCATTAAAAACCAAGAACAGGTAAACAACCAAACGAGCGACGAAGGTGTGGACACCGTGAGACTCTCGCACATTATTTCTTGCCTTGACTTAAACTAGACCTATATAAGTATTCCCCTATAAAATACTTTCATTCATATTAAATATCATAATAAAGATCACAGGAACACTTACAGAACGCAACAAATAGTTACATTATTCTTAATTGCCGCGGAAAAAAGCGGATGCCCGCGAATTCGCGGAAACATTAGTTTCTCATGCAAACTTTTGCCCTTTTCACCTCCTTAAAGAACGATTTCTAGAATAAATTTCTTTGTCCTTTATCGGGACTCTAACTATATCAATAAAAAAAATCTTAATCGATTCAGCGGTTTAAGTGTGAAGAAGTAAGACACTTCCGCATTTATTATATTTATATGAACTACTTACCTTTGTACAGTATCTGTAGACTCGCGAGTTCTTGCGGTTATAGAGCCACGCATTCTCGAACATAAGCCAGACATCGTCGACGTACTGCCACGGGTCCTTGTACTCGCCGCGGTCCAGCTTGTTCTTGATGGTGGACAGGTCTATCGGGTTCTTCACGATATCAAAATAGTCGGGGATACCGAGAGCTTGGGCGTCTACGGGCTGTCGGAACGGCAATGACTCCGGCTCTTGTCTAAACAATTTCTCTAAGGTAGGCATTAGCGCTTGTCGCAAGTCTTCCGGCTTGAACACGAATATCCTTCTGCCTCCAGGCCGGTCGACCGCGTTCGCATCGCTACTAGACGCCTCCACTGGTTCATCTTTGATCTCCTGCTTGATCTCATGCTTGATCTCAGTTTTGACGGTTTGTAGGAATTCGTTGTGCTCCTGCTGTTCTCTCTCAGTCGGGATCTCGTCCCGCATGCCTTTGCCCCCGCAATCCTCCTCCAGTTCTTCTTTGATCCGAGATTCTTCTGGTTCTTGTTTGATTCGGACCTGAATTAAATAACTAATGTGAGCATGATTATGTCGATGATTCAACTTGTGTGTGATATGAATTTAATTATACTGCAATCTATATAAATAAAAAAATCTGACTGACTGAGCATCAATTTAGATTGGTTTTAACGATTCGGTAGATGATTTTCCTGTTGAGTTCGTTATTTCAAGGATTATTCTTGATAAAAAAAAAACATCAGCATAAATACCCAGGGTCAGGGATGGATCGTTTTATTCCCTAAGCATTAGAAAATAAAGTTGAAAATCGTTAGACAAAATAGTTGTGAATCTTGACATGTCGTATGGTACGTAGAAAAGCTTGTTAAAATAAAGCGTGTGCTCGTTTATCTAAGCCCCACCACTCTCACATGGATGTCGCAGCTTTACATTTAAAAAGTATTCGTATGTGTGTAACATCGCGTGCTGGCTCGCTATATCTAGAAATAGGGCGTTGTTTAGGTTTGACCCACCACGTGGGCCCAGTGTGGATTAGTGGGTGCTAGCGACTGCAGATGCAGCCAGGACTAACGGCTTAGCTCGAGATAGTAAATTTTTGGTCACCCATCCAATGACCGACCACTGCAAAAGTTGCTTAACTTCAACGATCGCAGTCGAACGCGCTAACCACTTGCGCCATCGATACCTCGGGTACGGGATCGTCATCGGGCGGCGCGGGCGCGGGGCTGGGCTGGGGTGTCTTACCTCGGGCGCGGGCTCGTCGTCTTGCGCCGGCGCGGGGGCGGGCGGGAGGCGGGGCGCGGTTAGGGCGGCGCGGGCGCGGGGCATGGGTGTCTTACCTCGGGCGCGGGCTCGTCGTCTGGCGGCGGCGCGGGGGCGGAGGACTGTGGCGCGGCGCGGGCGGCAGGCGGGGCGCGGTTAGGGCGGCGCAGGCGCGGGGCTGGGGTGTCTTACCTCGGGCGCGGGCTCGTCGTCTGGCGGCGGCGCGGGGGCGGAGGGCGGTGGCGCGGGCGCGGCATGCGGCGGCGGCGCGGGGGCGGGCGCGGGCGGCGGCGGGCGGGAGGCGGGGCGCGGTTCGGGCGGCGCGGGCGCGGGGCTGGGGTGCGCCAGCGGCGTGTGCGGAGTGCCGGGCGCGGGAGACGCCGTCGCCGCGTCCCGGAAAGGCGCGTGGTTCATGAACGGCGAGTTCACCACCGGCCGCACCTGCGACAAATTGTAATGTTAGCTGCTGCTACCAGTTTACTAGGTGCCGCAACATCGCCCGCACTCCCGACACGCATTAGAGGGATCACTGTCCTCTGAAGGAGTGTCGGGTAGCCGGTGTAGGAGAGCCTTTGGGTTGGGTGAAATGAGCGGGGAAGAGTGTTCATATATCCTGTTCGCGCTACTCCAGATGGTGCAAGGAGGCGAAACGCAATAATAACATTATTTGATACATCATATAAATGGATTAATAGATAGATCATGTCCGAGACGAACAAGAGAATCGCAATGAATACTGTTGCCAATTAATCTTCACAATAAAATTATACTGCCAGCGTTTCAGTCGCAATTATCTCCTTGCAGACGAAATGCAAAGAAAATGCACCATAAAATTGTCCCCACTCTCTCGTCCGTGAAAACGAAATCTCAGTAATTAGTAAAAATTATAAAAGTAACAATAATCGAGAACACCTTTCTACAGACAAATATTGTAAAAAAATCGTAACTTTCACTAAAGAATTTAACTTGAATTTGGCGGCATCTAAACGGCGATCTCACAAGGAAGTATTCATTTAAACCTTTCGAACAATCTATCCGTGTCAGTCCAATCCGCAAATTGATGTAGACCACCAACACAAGAAAAGTTGCCTACTTCGGCCATGTCTTCTGAAACGAGAGATATGATTAACTGCAACTTATTATGATGAGCAAAAACTGCGGATAAAGTCGAATAGGCCACCGGAAAAAGTCGTGGCTTCGAAACATCCACGAATAGACCGGAAACAAGAGCGCCGCGGAACTCATTCACTCGCCAGGGCAAACTGAGGTTTTCAAGTCTGATCTCCAACCTTCTTCGGTAATTGGAGAGAAACATGAAGAAGAAGAGAAGATCAAACTATTATACTAAGGTACCAATATCATTGAACCACATATACCTTGTCCGGGTATCCGGGCGAGGGCAGCTCCGGGTAGGAGGCGGGTGACGTCATCGTCTGCCCGAACGGCGACATGCTGGGGTTGGCCACGCCCACCGAGCCGTTCTGTGTTTCAGGCATCCGTGGGGTCATTGCACCATACATACCTTGGCCGGGTGTGAGGGTGAGTGCAGCGCGGGCCCGTTGCTCTGCAGCACGGGGTAGAAGGCGGGTGACGTCATCGTCTGACCGAACGGCGACATGCAGGGGTTGGCCACGCCAACGAGCCGTTCCGTGTTGGTGGCATCCGCGGGGTCATTGCACCGTACATACCTTGTTCGGGTGTCCGGGCGAGGGCAGCGCGGAGTAGGGGCAGGTGACGTCATCGTCTGCCCGAACGGCGATATGCTGGGGTTAGCCACTCCCACCGAGCCGTTCTGTGTTGGAGGCATCCGCGGGGTCATTGCACCGTACATACCTTGTTCGGGTGTCCAGGTGAGGGCAACGCGGGCCCGTTGCTCTGCAGCGCGGGGTAGGAGGCGGGTGACGTCATCGTCTGCCCGAACGGCGACATGCTGGGGCTGGCCACGCCCACCGAGCCGTTCTGTGTTGGAGGCATCCGCGGGGTCATTGCACCGTACATACCTTGTCCGGGTGTCCGGGCGAGTGCAGCGCGAGCCCGTTGCTCTGCAGCGCGGGGTAGGAGGTGGGTGACGTCATCGTCTGCCTGAACGGCGACATGCTGGGGTTGGCCACGCCAACGAGCCGTTCCGTGTTGGTGGCATCCGCGGGGTCATTGCACCGTATATACCTTGTCCGGGTGTCAGGGTGAGTGCAGCGCGGGCCCGTTGCTCTGCAGCACGGGGTAGGAGGCGGGTGACGTCATCGTCTGCCCGAACGGCGACATGCTGGGATTGGCCAAGCCCACCGAGCCGTTCTGTGTTGGAGGCATCCGCGGGGTCATTGCACCGTACATACCTTGTCCGGGTGTCCGGGTGAAGGCAACGCGGGCCCATTGCTCTGCAGCGCGGGGTAGGAGGCGGGTGACGTCATTGTCTGCCCGAACGGCGACATGCTGGGGTTGGCCACGCCCACCGAGCCGTTCGGCGTTTGTGGCATCTGCGGAACAGTGGACAGTGTGAAGTCGTGTCTAGAGTATTTGTTACGTAAATAAAAGTAACCGCAACCGCACATAATTCAGCAACATACGCGCCGCACGCACCGCATTTAGAATTCGTTGCATGCAATTATATAAAACCGAATTCGTAATGCTTTTATATGGAAATGTGGCACGTGCCGAGCGTACTTATATACATAAACGATTAAAAATTTTGATTGATGTCTCTATCTGTAATATATGCCTTATAACTTTATTGGTATCTATTTGTACTATTACTATAATAGTACAAATAGATACCAATAAAGTTATAAGTGACCATGAAAGTTTAAAACAATATACTATTTGTACTAATTGGTTTGTAATAATTAAAATTATATCTTTTGCTGGTATTCTGCGACCAAATTCGGTAATAAGTTAAATGTTTTCAAAAACTTGTCAAATAGCCTATTGTAATAAGCAAAGAAAAGAAAGTAAGTAGTACTACTGTTTCTGCTTCAGCCTCGAAGGCAACATTGCTGCACACACCTGATTAGGACTAGACCTCGGCGGTCCCATCAACGTGGTGGGGAAGGCGACTCTATTGGACTGCATGAATACAGATAGTTATTAAACTGTCAGCCCCATAGTCGCGACTTAGGTGAATGAACTTTTGTATCGCTTTTCGTTGGCCGTACTTTACTACTATTTTTGCCCTAGCTTTAAAGACATTTTAAGGACCTCCTTGGTCGAGTAGTTTGTACGCCGGGTTTCATGGTGTCGCCGACTCGAGAGGTCCCGGCGGGGGCAGATGTTTGTGTGATGAATACGAGCATTTGTACTCCAGTCATGGATGTTTAATATGTATTTCTATATAAATATACTTCTTTATGTATAGTATATGTATTCCATCCGTTACCCTAGTATGCTATAACACAAGCCTACAGTGCTTACTTTGGGGCTAGGCTAATTGGTGTATTTGTTGAAAATGTTTATTTATTTATTAAAAAAACATCGTTTTAAACTCACCTGATTAGGACTAGGCCCCGGCGGTCCCACCAACGTGGGGAAGGCGACTCTATTGGGCTGCATGGGTAGCTGCATGCCGGGCGACGGTATCCTCATCCCGGGGAGAGAGGGCTGCGTCGGCATCCCTGCTCTGGGCATGCCTGTAGCCCCGGCCCCAACGCTGCCCACCCCACCCACTCGTACTCCCATCACCCCACCCCCTGACATTACTACGGGCTGCTGTAGCTGCCCTTGTTGCAGCTGACCTTGTTGTTGGAGTTGCCCTTGTTGTTGCTGTTGCTGCTGTAATAGGGATTTGGAATTGTAGTGCTTGTAGCTGAGGTTTTTCGACGGTTCTCGTCTTTGGTTATATATGTACACGCCTAGATACTGTATTAACTGTATGGCAGCGGCCCAAAAAATGTCAACTACCTATGGTAAATATGCTCGTCGCTACACACGCCCACATTGATTGCTTTTATACAATCTGATGTTAGAGTCACTCACACTTTGCGCGTAAAAGAGCCATTTTCTTTGCGTGGTTTATTTGAATTGCTATATCTAGGCGTGTATATAATCAAAGGTTCTCGTAATGATCCATTAGCGGCACAAAGCACCCCCAATAAAGACCGCATATAAGAGCACCCGCTTGTGCCAAGTAAGTGTAGTAAGATAGGATCGCCTAAGATCAGAGGCTTTTGAGTTGTTATGACTGTGTTGCAAAATATTTTTTTTATATTTCTACAAGCATTTTTCAAATGGACTCTGGACTACTGGTATGCAATGATATACTGATATACACGCCTTCAAATTGACGAATTTTTTTTCCGACTACCTTTCAAAATACTCAAGTGAAGCTAAAGTTCATACTACTTCTTAATTTCACCTCTGTAGCTTCGGTTATAGGGTGCACAGAAGACAAATATCGGACTCTAGTGGTACTCTGTGGTTAGCTGACAGTTTTTAAATTTTATGAAATGAAGGTACTAGAGTGAGGTGACTATTTTCTTCACCTGTAATTTTATCATGTTGCACGGGACAATATGAGAACCACGCTACAAAACTTTAGGATAGAACTGAAGTCACAATAAATGATCTTACTTGTAATCTATTATAAGTTATATTGAATAATCATATCCCATTTCATATTTTTGTGCGTTAGCAACAACGATATTATAAGTTATATTGAATAATCATATCCCATATCATATTTTTGTGCGTTAGCAGCAACGATATTCAATAGAGACATCAACACGAACAAAATCGGCCAAAACCTGACCAAAAGTACATTGGACGATCAACGGAGATCCGTAAGATGATCGCGTAGTCAAAAGCATATAAGGCATTATATAAACATTGAAAGTCACCTTTAACGCATACAGTATAAGGCCTTAATTAAAACGCATATGTCAAAGAGTAATAACAGTTCGAAATTGAAGCTCGTAAAATTTTACGACTTATTGCTATAGACGGAAGATTATAGACTTTATTTCTTTGACTCTCCGCGCAATTCCGAATCCGCTGTTAGCAATACAGGGCGTCCCACGGGTTTGTCACATGGAGAGAAAGTATATTAAATATTGGAGATAGGATATTTTACTGAAAGAAGACATCATTATACTACTATGTAGTTAGTTCTCCATTATACACAATAAATTTATAAGTATTCACTAATATGCAATAGATTATGTCTTCTCACATCTTAGTACAATTGTAAATTTCATAGAAAACCCTATTATTTATTAGCCTTAGTATTAGAAAGTATGTAAAAATATTTTTTTTGTTACGCTGTTGGTTTTCTGAATAAATAAATAAATATTTTTAATAAGTAGAACTGCATTCACAGTTTTTAAAAAATCGCCTGCCTAAACCGGGAATCAAACTCGTGAAATATGAAACAGAAATCACGGAATTTGACGTTTTAACAATTGGAACACAATTTTCAATAAAAAAGTAACGGTGCTAGATTTGTGTAAATATCACTGAATTATTTTTTTCACGTACTTGTAGTAAGAAAATCCTATAATATTAAGTGAGCAGGTACTAGTTAGTAAATACTTTGAAATGATAATAATTAGCTGTTGGAAGCACGGAAAAGTAAGAAAAAATTTTCAAAAACAAAATTTTTAATTTCATGATTTTCCTTATAAGTAATTGTTATTTAGATAAAAAATATCCTTATGATTAACCCTTTCGATGGTTATCATAAAATATATTATGTATTTTTTTTTTAATTTTCACAAATTTGATTCCATGTTGTAGCAGGCGTATTAAAAAAATATCTGTGAAAGCAGTTCTAATTCTTATTAAGAATAAAATGATGTTTTGCATCAGTATAACGTCTTATCATTCCCTCCGTGTGACGCCCTGTATGGCAGATACGAACCGCGAGGAAAAGAGACGGCTATATAACTGACCATGCATTTGCATATCACAAAATTTTCTTTTAAATCAGTTTATAGTAAGTATTACAACAAAATTTGCTTCCAATGCGTAAGATTAACAAACATTGATTAGATACCAGTCGAAAAACACGTCACTCTACATACTATAAGTATTTTGTTCGTTTTTTTTCATGGAGCTCTGCGGCATCTTGACTTTTCAACAATCCGCGCGTGACTGTGAACCAAGAAGTGCTTGAATGCAATTCTTGATAGGGACACATTTTCAGCGCACGTGGTGTATCTAGGGTATTAAATATCTAGTTTTTACGGGTTTTAAATAATTCTGACGAAGCAGCCTGAAAAGGATGAGAAACGTCAATAAATAAATAAAGTTTCGTGCATTAACCCGTAAAAACTAGTTTTATTTAATGAGTGATGTGCGTGAAAACCTAAGAAACAAGTATTAAATATCGTTGGTTTGCAGCCATTCAGTTAAGACTGTTATCACAAATCAATCACTCAAAACACTTTATTTAATTAAATTATAATTTACTATGGTAACACAACAAATTAGAAATTATATGGAAGCATACTCTCTAAAAAGGGCTACTAAGATATGGTTCCAAACTCATAACCTAACTCCAATACTAACGCAACACGCACACAGCCAAAACAAAATACTTTGACAAATCAAATATCTGCATTTGGATTCTGCTATCCATAATTGGGTAAGATCATGTTAAACGGAAATCCCAACCAATCCCATGCCCGGTTGCAGTATTTTGCATACTATTTCTAATTTGTTGTTGAAACATTATAAATAGGCAATTAAAGTACACATCGTAAAGTGGAACTGAAATAAAAAACTTAAACTTCCCAAAAAGGACTTTGACGACCTCCGTGGCCGAGTGGTTTATACACCGGGTTTCATGGTGTCGCCGACTTGAGAGGTCCCGGTTCGAATCCAGGTGGGAGCAGATGTTCGTGTGATGAATACGAGCATTTGTACTCCAGTCATGGATGTTTATATAAGTGTATTTCTATATAAATATAGTTATGTATGTACAGTATATGTATTCTATCTGTTGCCCTAGTATCCCATAACACAAGCCTCACACACAGCTACAGTGCTTACTTTGGGGCTAGGCTAATTGGTGTGAGTGTCGGAAATATTTATTATTTGTTCATTATTTACCTGCAACTGCTGCTCTTTGCGTTTCTGCCGCTTCTCCTCCAACTCCTTCTGTATTTTATATATTTTTTCCGCCAACAAATGGTAGTATTCCGATCGCGTACTCGCCATCTCATACATATCTCCTTCCACTTTCCTCGCATACGCCACGAGGTTGTGCATCCGTTTGTCTAGCATCGCGTGCGGATCCGGAGTTGGAAAAATCGCTTGCACCCTAATAGGAAACAAAGAATTTATATGTAGACCTAAATAAAAGAGTAAGTTAATTTCGCTAAATTGCTTTTTAGAGACAAGACATTTTACATTTAATAAAACTAGTTTTTACATGGATTGAATTTATTTATTTATTGACGTTTCGCATTCTTTTCATAAATGCGTCGTCGGAATAATTATTTTTTATTTACTTTGTCGAGCTAACTTCGAAAACGAGCTTCTCGTTCGCTCCTGAACAGGATGCGAAACGTCAATAAATAAATAAATTCAGTACATCTAACCCGTAAAAACTAGTTTTATTTAATGAATAATGTGCGTGAAAACCTAAGAAACAAAATACATTTTCTATTGTGTGTGTGTGGTTTGGCAGAACAAGTTTAACAATTCTGGAGATATTTACAAGTCACTCCTCAGAAACCCAAACAAGAACGAAATTCCACCTTTATTCTGTATTTTAAGGCAACATTCGGCACTTTATTTGTATATTATTAAAATTATAACATGATAAACAAACGATAATAATCATGAGCATAAAATGTAATTTTTACTCCTCCAAGATTACTTTCATTTCATATTTGAGAAACAGATTGGCTTAAATCATTGATACTTGCCTTGGCTTTAAGTTTTAAAGTTAAACAGATATCTCTCAGGGTACCAATAAAGTGAGCTTAAAGTTTATGAACAAGATGGTTTCTGAGATTGACTTTTACAGACTGAAGAGTCAAGAGTTATACAAAGTAATAGCTTAAGAGACACCTAATATGAACTTACAGTTTATGAACAAGATGGTTTCTGAGATCGGCTGTTATAGACTGATGCCACTCTTTCGTTCCTGAGACCGGATTCGCCGTGACTGGTCCTCCTGGTAGTTGAAGCGTACTACCACCCATCTGTATGATACAAATAGAGTTGTTTTAAATTACTGCCTGCAACTTCTTCTTCATATTTTAACATATTTTTTTATAAAATTCATTCAATCATTCTGCAAATATAAAATAGGTGCAAATTTACTAAATCACACAAAAACGGCTAAACCGTTTAGGAAGAAATTTGGTACATCGCTTAGCGAGGGACTGTGTGGACTGTATCATATTATACTATTAGATAATCTTTATCACCGAAAATTTTTAGGGCCTGTGAGTTTTTTATAATACTAAGTACAACGTCTTGGTTTCGTTATCGTCACCTGGAGGAAGCTCGATGGCGCAGGTGGACAGCGCATTCGACCTGCGAAATGGTAGAAATTAACCAACTCGCAATGGCCGGTCATTGGATGGGTGACAAAAATTTACTATCTCGAGCTTCTCCGTTCTTCGGAAGCCACGTAAGGAATTTGGCCCGGCAGCACCTGCAATTGTTAGCACCTACCAAACCACCCTAAGCACGCGTGGTGGGTCATGGCCCAATCTCCCTACTCCATCCATAAGGAAGGCCTGTTCCCCAGCAGTGGGGATATTAATAGGGCTGGGATGATGATGAAAATTAAAAAACACACCAGTTGTTGTTGCTGCTGCTGCAGATCGGATTGGTTCTGCTGTGCAAACAGTTGTTGCATCGGGGTATTCTGTTGTTGGGGCACTACGTCCGTGAGGCCTGGGGGTCTGGGGACTGCCATTCGGGCAGGCGGCGCCCTGGGGAAGCCCCCCGTCATATTGGAGACCGACGTGGGACACGTGATGCCTGATAAAAATTCAATTGTTTGTTTTTATTATTTATTTCATATCAAAAATAACAATTACATAGTTAAAAAGTACGTACGCATGGGAGGGGGGGGAGCTTTGCTGACAAGGGGGAGGAGAGGGTAAATAATTATAATAAATCTGCTTACGTAATACTTGAACGGCTAATAAACGTGATCACCATTGGCTACTAAGCCACTATGATTGGTGGTTGCGTCTAATGGCTTAAGAAAGCCACTAGTGATCGCGTTTAGTGGTTCAATATGTACTTGCTCTTAGTCCGTTGGTTACATTATCAAAAAATGATGGTCACTATTTTTTTCTTTTGACAATCAATCAAAAACACTAAGATAAAGCGCGTCAAAGATTGGGAAGCCCCACAGCCGCATGTGAAGTCACTTCTTAGTAAAATTTTACCAAGACGTGACGTCATACGATATTTCAAATAAATATGTCTCTGTAATGTTTTGATAATGTGAATAAAGAAAACAATCGTGACAAATTTAGAAAGTAAGGATATGATGGGGCTGCTGGTTTTTCCTTAATATTGGGTAAAAGCCGATAAGGTCCACTTGCAGCAAATTTGCTAAATCTTAATTAAATAAGATTTAAGAAAAATACAATAGTAAATACTATTATTATCATAAGTACCTAGGGCTTCGTACGCGCGCTTCATATCGGCGCCTTGCGTGCTCGGCGTTGGTGCAGGCGTTAGGGAATTGACAATGCTGGCGCCTGCGCTGCCCACGCCCACGCCGACGCCCACGCTGCCCACGCCCACGCCGCCCACGGCCACGTTGCCCACGGTCACGCCTGTGCTCGCACCCGTCGTCGTGTGGCTTACGGCGGCCGCTAACAAACATAATCCCTGGTTAATGGCTTATCACAAAAGTATAGAGGAGGAGCAAGCCCATTAATGACTGCGTTTACCTCGCAATACATACCATTCATTTTTGTTTCCACCAACAAAGAGTCGAGCGAAAATGATAAAGAGGGCGAAAGAGTAAAAATGAGTGAAATGAGAATCAATACTCCCCAATCTCGGAAAAGCAATCCTATTTTATGTAGAGAAAGACCGCTCCACTGTACATTCCTTCCTAGTTCATTCCTCTTTGGCAGTGGAAAACGGGCTTAGGTAACTGCACTTCTTGAGCAAAACAAGACTTAAACTTGCGCAGTAGACGTTTTTGTATGTAAAATTGCTACTACCATGCAACAAGGATCTTAATGAATGTAAGTGACCGTTCAGGGTGGGCGCCACTGTCTATGTGTATAACCGTAAATGGCATAAGAAATATGACGTTTACAAAGAGCGCGGTGTTAATTCCAATTTTCGCCACATTCATAAAGATCCTTGTCGCACTATACGCAGGCTTCCATGTATATGGTGGTGCCTCAAAAAGTTTATAGAGATGTATATCAGCCGCACCCAAGCAAAGTCGACTCGTAACAAAACGTTGTTTCTATAACGAGAACTTTGAAGTTACGTTTACAGGCATAATAAAGTAGTATCAATCTGAATTTATTCAAGTAAAAATCAATAGCGGTAAATAAGTATTGGTTTATACTCTGTTCATGGAAAAAGAAACAGTGGAGGGCTATTTGATCATAGATTTAAAAAATACAAGGGTAGATAAGTACGACACGAGAAAAGGGGCGGTTATTGGGCGGAGTCACAATAATACAATTCAGCCAATTGCAGAAAAGCTAGGCTTGCTTTCGTACTTAGCTGAATAGAGTATAGATTCGGCCAAATAATCATGCAACTATTTCTAACGCTTTGGTTTAATTATCTTAGGGATAGATAGGAGAAAATTAGATCAAATTGCTCTACGAAAGTGTTAATTATATCTCACAATTTAATTAGTTCATGCGGTCACATAAACATACTCCAAAGATTAGGTACTCCTGTGGCGTTATTATCTTGATATTTATATTTGATCTTCATTAGTAGCAAAGAAGTGAGAATTTGTCAATGTTTTTAAAGCAAATAGGTTATTTGAAATTAAATAGTAAAAGTGGGCTATATAGCATAGAGGAAATACGGAATATACTTACCATTCATGTTGTTGGGTCTATTCCTATCAGCTTGTTTTAGGGGTAAACAAACGGGACAGTCACTCTTGTTACAATGCTTCCAGTGATTGATAATCTGGCGAGACGATGAACAATGAGGAACTGTACAATTTTTACCCGCCTGGAAAAGAAGGAGAGTATTAATGTTTTGTTTAACTAACCAGTAATTTGTTTGTGCAATGCATTCAGCATTAAATTAGTTATGAGAACTGAATTGTGTGGAAGGGGAAAATGTGGAATGACCCAAGACAGACTGATAGCAAATTACTTCCACTAGAAACACACTCATTGATATTGATAATATATTATCTAATTTTCTAACTTATTTCGACCTTAAATACAAATTCAAATAAGGGTTTTATTATAAATTCGTGAACCTGAACTGTATTCTAATCCAATTGAGCAAATCACATTGTATTAAAGATATATTATAATTAAATAATATAAGTACTAATTAAATTTTAAATTTGTGTGCAGCATTTACTATAATTTTTTTTAAGTACATTTAATACATGTTCCTTCAGGTGGGTAGTTACGTTTCCTAAAATATGATTGAACGAGGCGATGGCTGGTTCATGCGTCATGCTGGTGAACGGGTGCTGCCAGCGAGGATGAGTCTGCTCTATACTGCGTTACTATTGAGATGTATGGTATTTCTATTATATGATGATTGGTATTTCTATTATACATAATATTGAATGATTAATACAACGATATTAAATACCCTAGATACACCACGTCCGCTCAAAATGTGTCCTAATCAAGAAGTGCTTGAACTCCACTCAAGCACTTCTTGGTTCACAGTCACGCGCAAACTGTTGAAAAGTCAACATGCCGCAGAGCTCTGTGAAATAATGCGAAAAAATACTTTAGTACGTAGTGTCGTTTTTTCGACAGGTATCTAATCAATGTTTGTTAATTTAACGCATTTAAAGCAAATTTTGTTCTAATACTTACTAGAAACTGCTGTAATAGAAAATATTTGTGATATTCAAATGCATGGTCGGTTATATAGCCGTCTCTTTTCCTCGCGGTCCGTACCTGCTATATTGCTAACAGCGCATTCAGAATTGCGCGTTCAGTCAAAGAAATAAGGTTAAATTCTTCCGAATATATAGCAATGAGTCGTAAAATTTAACGAGCCTGCATTTCGAACTGTCATAACTCTTTGACGCATGCATTTTAATTAAGACCTCATACAGTATGCATTAAAGGTGAATTTCAATGTATAAATAATTTCTTATATTGTTTCTGACAACGCGATCATCTTACGGAGCTCCGAGGATCGTCCGATGTACTTTTAAGACAGGTTTCAGGCACGATTTAGTTCGTGTTGGTGTATCTAGGGTATTTAATATCGTTGGATTAATACCTAATAGAACACTGTTTGCATTTATACTGTATGACACAGCAATCAAAGGAGATTGCTCAAATTGGCCCAAATGCACAAAAAATATTGACATACACGGTAATATTTGGCGTAATTTATAATTTAATTTACAGTCATTAGATTTCAACGGACACCTTTGTATAATATATTTACTTTAAAAAGGACTTTTAATTTTACCGGTTTGGAAAACATAAGAATCGTTTTTAATGGCTATGGGTGTAGTAACATTCAGCCAAAGACTGATCGAAGTTGTTTATATAACATAAAAACAAATTCTTTTTGTAAAGATCGATAAAGTAATGCATTTTTTTAACTGTGGTATTAATATCCACAACTATATTATCATTTTCACTAGATGCAAATGTGCTCAGACAATTATTATAGATGGTAGGCGACATCATAAAGTCTATTGCCATACATTTTTCGCCAAACACCTCCATAAACACATTATAATCTGTATATATGTTAGACTTTAAGGTATCTATCTATGGGCCTACGTTCCCTGACTATAAATTAATAAATAAATAAAATTATAAGGTGTTATACACTAAAAATCTAAATATGATTATCTTAAAAACATAACAAAAATAATGAAGCTACTGAATATATGGCTATAGAACCTAAATCTCTTAGCTTTCTTTGGTTAGCGAGAGTTTAAAAATTCTCTCTAATCTGTGGCTCATTCACAATCATCTTTCAGGTATTCAGGTTATTATAACCGGAAATGACACCTGATATTAAAAGTTACTCTTATGCCTTAACTTTAAAAACATGCAACTATCTATTAATCTACATGCTCTATATACCTGAATCTAATCCATAATTTCGGTGCTTGGCTTGATTTCCCTAGTTTACTATATAACTGATTTGTTTTTTATTATTTTAATATGTTCAGTGTATATGGTTTATAGAAGTTCTCAAGGGTGTCCGTCAATAATATTCGTTTTACAGTAATTTATATACAATTTCGAATCTAGGAAACAATTTTTCATGATTATTGGTCTTTAGGCCAAACATGCATGAAAGCTGAGTAATCTCCTCTGAGAGCACATTGTATTGGTAGCGACATGATTTTTTTGTAAATGTTTCTTCTTCTGGAGTGATGGGTGATGGAGTGTGTGGGTGTGCATACAAACAGACAGGTCGCTGTACTCACCTGACACGACATCATATGGTTGAGCACTCCCTTCATGGTCTTGCAGTGGGGCAGCGTGCACTGCCACGACTCCGGAAGGGTGATGGAGTGTGTGGGTGTGTATACAGACAGACAGGTCGCTGTACTCACCTGACACGACATCATATGGTTGAGTACTCCCTTCATGGTCTTGCAGTGGGGCAGCGTGCACTGCCACGACTCCGGAAGGGTGATGGAGTGTGTGGGTGTGTATACAGACAGACAGGTCGCTGTACTCACCTGACACGACATCATTGGTTGAGCACTCCCTTCATGGTCTTGCAGTGGGGCAGCGTGCACTGCCACGACTCCGGAAGGGTGATGGAGTGTGTGGGTGGTGTGGGTGTGTATACAGACAGACAGGTCGCTGTACTCACCTGACACGACATCATATGGTTGAGCACTCCCTTCATGGTCTTGCAGTGTGGCAGAGTGCACTGCCACGTCTCGCCGTTGGACTGTGACTCGCGCCTCTGGCATTTATGCGCGTGCAGCAGTAACACAAGCTGCTGCTGAATCAGTTTCCGCTTCTCAGGGTCGGCGATGGAGCCCGACGCGGGCGGTTGGTGTGGCGCGTGAGGTTGGTGTACGTGGGGGGCGGCGGCCTACATCAATAACCGGGAGGTGAGCAACAGATGATGAATATCATAAATAGGGTGTATTGTTTCTTCGTCTATCAGGTGCAGGAGAATGTTATAAAGTATTGCAGACGTTTTTTGTATTTTTCCACATTATCAAAACAATACAGAGATATACTGATTTGAAAAGTCGCGTGACGTCATGTTTCCGTACAATTATTACCAAAAGTGTCGGCACTAGCCCTCCCAAACATTGACGCGATTTATCAGAGTAATTTTTTGGTTGATTGACAAAAGATACGTGTGTTTTTTTAATGTAACCAACGGACTAAATAGTATCACTTATTTGTGGGAGCTTTTTTTTGATATTTTCTTATTTTACCAAGATATCTTTATTTTTAGAAATTATACAAAATATATGTAAGTAATATTTATGAAATTAGATATTTTCTTCATACTAACCAAACCAACTCATTTAAAAAAGCTACATCTAAACGAAAAATTTACATTCATAAACGCACATTTATTATGGCGGCTGTCAAGTTAGCGCAACTTTGCATAGGTTTCAGATTAGTCATTTCTGGGTGCATCAACTTACATTTAAACTATGCCGCGATTAGCGCTAACTTCACAGCCGTCATTAACTTTGACAGGCACTATAAGCAAAGTCAATTTAAATCGTAAAATAGGTACACGCAAATCTCTACCTTTCTTCGAAAACGACCCTAAATCTTCGTACGCGCAGCCGTTTTGCCAGTAACTGGTAATCTGTCCGTTACTGTCCGGTAACGACTTTCGGCTTGGTGATGAGCGCAACAATGTTACTTTCGCTAGCCCCATCGCTGTGGGCTTCGCTTTATTGCACTTCAAATATTTTAGTACATTTGTTGTAATCACTGGGCTCGGTGCGTCACACTGCGGTAGGGCCTATCAAGGAGTCAGCTAGAGTCCAGACAATGTCTAGGGTGGTACGATGTATAATATACGAAATATTTAGAAGGTGTTCTAGGCTGACCCTATAAGACATGTTTAGGAGATGTAAGATTGCCCTGTATGTAGATTGACCCTAAACAACATATCAAGGATGACCTTACACAAGATGTTCAGGGGGATAACTAAGATTACCCCATACGGTATGTTTAGGAGATCTAGGATGACCCAATACAATATGTTTAGGAGGAGATGTAGGATCACTGAATATGACACATTTACGAAGAGATCTAAGAAGACCTTACACAACATCTTTTATTGATCTAGGATTACCTTATATGACATGTTTCGGAGGAGATATATGATGATCCTACAGTACATTTTTGGATCTAGAATGATCCTATTATACACGACATATTTAAGAGGCAATCTAAAATTCTTCCCACATTAAATCGGCCATGCCGCAGTGGTTATCCAGGAGGAGATCTAGGATGACCCTATACATGTTTAGGAGGCACTTTACTATTCTCAAATTTTCACCCTAAATCGACCCTGTCGTAATGTAGTGAGTATATGGTTTGAGTCCAAGATTGATATATTAATCGTATCAAATCATTTAGAAATAACCTAATTTTTTCAGGCTCACTGTACATTTGCATTCGCCACGCCGTTACCAATATTACTTTATAACAAAAAAAACGAGCGAGCCTTACAGTATTCGCGTATGATGTGTAACATTTGAAAGTTTCAAATTGAAACCTCACCTTATATTAGTAAAAAAAGAAGTTAAACCTATATGAATAAGCCATTTGAACATTATGTTCTAAAATCAAATCAATAGCGCTTACACGACTCCCTGTTACAGACTTCCGTCCCATTTCACGAAATCACTCCCACAAATTGCAGGAAAGCGAGAGGAAAGATGTTACACATCAATAAATCACTGCATTATTAACTTTGTTTCCGTATCATACAGTTTAAGCATACTGATATGGTTGTTTGGATACCTGCAAGGCGGTCTGCGGCTGCGACTGTCCACGGGCGGGTCCGAAGCGCATCACCCTACATTTCGTTAACTACATCGCGACTGACGCTAGGTTCACAGCCGTAATGTCATGGGGAGACTGTTTCAGCCGTCGGTGATACGGTTGCGTAGTTTACCTGCGTGGCGGCCTGCGGCTGCGACTGGCCTCCGGCGGGCGCACCGGGCGTCTGCGGCGAGGGCGCGGGCGGTACTGCCTGCGCGGCGCCGCCGCCCGCCTCGCCCGGCGGTCCGAAGCGCACGCCCGCCGCACCCGCGCGCTGCGCCGGCGGCACGCCCGGCCCCTGCGCCGACTGCCCGTACGCCGGGTGGTACGGCGCCAGCGGGTGCCCACCGCCGCCCGGCATGCGCGGGTGGTGCTGCAGCGTACTGCGCATCGTAGGCGCCTGCATGCCCACACCCACGCCAACGCGACCCCCCAGCGGACCGTTCTGCATCGTCTACGGTGTACGACACGAGATTTAACAGCGGCAATATACATGACAATAGGGAAGAAAATGCAAAGCTCGTTCTATTCAAATTTTTTGTGTACGATAGCTGGTATCTACTGGGACAATTCAGCCAATGTAAGGGTTGAACACTACAAGTGCTCAGTTTTTTATAATTTTACGCATCAGCTTTGATTGGCCGATTGAGTGACCTAAAAGGGTAGATAAAAAAAAGGTTAAGCTCATTACAGATGGCGCTTTAACCCATAACAAGCAGTCTTATAACAAAGAAAATTGGCAGTAATCTTCCTCATTAGAAGAATGAAGATGGATGGCGAAAAAGAATGAAAACATGTATCATTCCATTCAGATTTCGTCCAGTTAGATTGGTACCAGTGAGAATTTGACGACCTCCGTCGCCGAGTGGTTTGTACGCCAAGTTTCAATGTGTTGCCTATTCGAGAAGTCCTCGGTTCGAATCCTAGTTAGGGCAGATGTTTGTGTGATGAATATGAACATTTGTACTCCAGTCGTGGATGTTTAATATGTATTTCTATATAAAGTATAATAATAATAAATTCTTTATTTATTTCTTCACATAAGTAGAAAAAAGAAACATTTACAATAAAGTGCTTAATTACAATATTTCATTACTTTATGTGAAGACTGGTACTTGCAATAGGATAAACCTGTTCTACAAGACACCAGGCCTCCACTCCCAAAACTACATGAACAGAGCAAGCCACCTTTGTACTATTTATGTGATTAATGTATTAATTAATATGAGAAGTGCTTAAGAAACAAATAAAAACACAATAATAAAAAATAAAATAAAAAAAGTAATTGTGTGTGAGTGTGTGTGTGTGTGTGTGAGCGTGTGTGTATTTTTGTGTGTGTATGTATTTATATTTAACGGTTCCCATAAATGCTTTATTTATTGATATTGTATTATGAATTTGCACTTTTCTTCATCTATTCCAATTTCCTGAACTTGAATTAATTTCATCATAGTCATTAACTTGAGGCATCATAAGGATATTTAAACCTATTTCATTTAATTCCAATAAATAATTAGAGATCTGTTGCTTTACCCGTCTGCTTGTATACTGCCTTACATTAAGTTTAGCATGTAACACATTGTAGACTGAAGGTGCCACAAAGTCATATGATCTCGAGGCAAACTTGGTTTTAAAAGGAGGAATATGACACTTTGCCGCTCTTGTTTTACAGACATTAGTGATTGTACTTACATTATTATGCAATCTGCATATAACCTGATAAATAAACAATTTTCGAACACTTAAGACTTTAGTTTTTTCATACAATGAGGCTGTTGGGTGTCGAATCAGTAGTGACATTAAAACCCTCAATACAGCTCTTTGTGCTCTTTAAAATTTAATTAAATGTACTTGTGCAGAGCCTCCCCAAGCACAAATACAGTAGCAGATTAAAGATTCTCCCAAAGATTTATAAACTCTAATTAACAAAGGCAGGTTAGTTACCATGCGAATTCTAAATTGCGATTCTTAAAAACATACATTAACTTTCTGATATGCCCAGAGATAAGTCAAATATGAGCATCCCATTTTAAGTGTTCATCTATCATGACTCCTAGATAGAATGTTTTAACTATATATAAATATACTTTTATATACCAGTATATGTATTCTATCTGTTACCCTAGCATCCCATAACACAAGCCTACAGTGCTTACTTTGGGGCTAGGCTAATTGGTGTGAGTGTTGAAAATATTTATTTTAAACAGAAAACAACATGCATTTTCATTTTATTTCTTACAGAACGGGTCAAAATGGCATGTATTTTTTGCTGCTCTAAATCCTTCGCTATACTTGAAATACTATATGTATTTCAAGTATAAGTATATATAATGTGTTATCATCTGACAATATTAAAATTTTCAACAATAACAATTGACATTGAGCCAATATAAGGTAGGAATATGAACAGATATATTAATTTACACTGTATAACTTGATATATATGTACAACACAGGACAGCTTGGTTGTTTATTGATGCACTTTTCTCACCTTAAGCGATTGGAAGTTACTTGTATATACCAATGTCAATATTATTTTGTATCTCTTATCTATTAGACAAGTCCGTCCGTCTGTCTGTGGTGCTGTTTCAGCGGCCAAACCGTAAGAGATAGATAAAGAGAATATTTAAGTTATAAGTTAAGAATAGTCTGATAAGACTACAAACCGGATTTGAGAACGTAGCACTTCCGGTCTTCGAGAAATCAGGTTTTGGTGAACATTTGGTTCACTGGTTTGCTAGTTTACATTAAATCAGACAGTTTATTTGTGTGTAAGTATGTAAGTATCAAATATAAAATATTACACACAGATGATCTGCACTTCTTTTTCATAGCAATTAGAAATAATTTAAACATAGACCGAAACTTTTAAAATTTTTATCTCACTCACCTGCGTGTGAGGATGATGCGGAGGTGTTCCGTGGTGATTGTTGCCCATCAAAGTGGGCAGTTGTTTGTTTACGTTGTTGATGATCCCGCTGCCGAGCATACCTGCTCCAGTCATATTACTGTTTGTCACTATCATATTGCCGACATTAGCGACATTCATTCCACCTATCAAATTAAATAATCAGGTATGCATCAAATATTTTCAAGCAGCAAATAATAATATAAAGATAGTTTTATTAAGTGGTATCATAAATAAAGTGGTAATACTCACCTTGTATGGAACTCATTGGCATGGTAGAGTGCAATTGATTTGGATGACTTGTATTTGGCATTAGTTGTGGATGCATACCACCCATTAAATCCTTGGATACAGACACATTTGGAGGTGACTGCAAATTTGGACTCTTACTTCCTAAACTACTCAACCCTAAAGGATTATTGTGGCCGACTAAGCCACCTTTGTTGCCCTGTGAAAAGACCAGCACGTAAAATGCATCATTAGTATGGAAAATACTTGTGAAAACTGATTTAATAAGAGTAAACTTCATGAAGTTATTTCATATGAGGCTTAGATACTCACTTGTTGTATAAGGTGATTATTGATTTGCCTCTGCATAGCAGCTGTTGGGTCATCCCCATTGAGCTGCTGCTGTGGGACGAGTTGGTTCCCAGGGCCAGGCCCCTGAGCTGGTGGCTTGGACCCCGGAACACCTGGTTGTTCGGCCCAAGAGCCTCCCATAAGTTCATCAGGGAGGTCCTTTTCAAGGTCGAACATGTCTTGTAGGTTTGAAAACCCATCTGAAAGAATTATCTTTGATTAAACCATCTCACATAAAGCATTTTAATAGATATAAAATCAAGCCATAAATAAAATAAATACATAAAATTTTCATAAATCAGTTTTATACATTATTAAAAATGTGTAAAGTAAAATATTAGTTGCTGTGCATAGAAAACACCATAACATCATTTAAGATAAAACTAAAATATGATAATCAATAAGTTCATTATAACATAATCACTCATAAAATGGTTATAGATATTATATATTAAGTGAATATACCACCAGAAAAATAAAATATTTACTTTTTAATTTAATTCTGATAATTTTTAATTTTGATTATATTTATAATACAGCATCCAAATTTGTTTAAAAAGAAATATAAGATAAACCAAAAGTGTTTTTTTACAGAGATATTTTAACACTAGTTTCATAATTAGTAGACTTGAAGTAACTATAAATACTCTCTTTAGATGTACTTCAATAAAATACTCTTTATCACAAAAGGATTGCTTCACATATGAGTGCTACTATTGACTAGAATAGTGAAAACACAGCCCTTACATCTTATACTCCAGGCAATGACATAAAGTATAAGTATAGGTAGAAAAACAAACCTTTTTTATGTATCTTAGGGTCTTATCCCTATCTTATTCCTCTTATCCCTAAGATATGCTGCTTACAATAAAATATTCCTAGATTATTTTTGCTATATATCAGTATGGAGATCTCTCCATATGTATCTACATAAACCAGTATTATCAGTGGTACCAATATTGAGCAAAATTTTTGCAATTCTTCTACATTATCGAGTGGTTATATATCATTGTATGGTTTTGTGCTTAATGTTCAATGTTTGTTGTGGTGTACAATAAAGAGTTTTTGTACTGTATTATCCAATCAAACATTTGTAAAAATGATGAACAGTTAACAGGATAATAAAATATACATTCATTCTCCAGGTTTTTACGAATAGAAATATTAAAATATATATACGGTCATCCAAATACAGGGTTCAGATATATCAGCAGACAGTGATAGAAAGCTTTTTTTTCGAATTTGTGACTTCTTTTTCCCTCTGATAATAATTTAAATAAACCATAAATAAATATAGCATTAGAAGCAAAAGTGAAAATTTTCATTAATTTTTTTCTTAACAATAATATTTTTTCTTACTAGCCAATTATGTCTTATGAATATTTTTTAGTCTCATAGTAAAAAAAAATATTCAAAAAACCATATCTATTAGTAGATTCCATAAAAATCTTAGCAGATCTTATATCCATAAATTGGCATAATATAGCACAGTTTTAAGATAATATAACCAATCAACTGTGCTTTAAAAACTATTTTGTGTAACTTTAAGCATTCAACTGCCAGATGTTTAAATTTCAATAAAATTTAACTAGAAATAACTATATTTTGTCTATTATTTCCAAACTTATCTTTATTTCTTTTATTAATCTAAATTTTAAAATAAAAATTATAAATTTATAATAAAAATTTTGGATGCATATATACATATTGCAAATTATATAATTCATGATTTATTGCATCACGTTGAGTTTAAATGTCTTAATTCTAATATAAAACAGTAAGTAAGATCACCCTTCTATTTCAATTAGAATATGATACAGGTCAAAAAATAGATATTTTTCAAAAACTGTTCTGTCAATCTAAAATTGGAACAAAAAGAAACAATACATAAATATTTAAAATTACTTATTAGTGGCTGTTCAAAAAATATGTTTATAATTTTTTCTTACAGTAATTTGTACATCCATTGCTAAGTTTAAGAAATGCCATTTAAAAAAACCTAATTCTGGATTTGCAGATGTTCCAATAAGATATATTATTATTGTGTCCATTAACAGCCAGCTTACATATTCTTAAATTCACTTATTTATTTAAAAGAACATTATGAATAAAAAACTACAAATATTCTCTATTTTCTAAAATTTTAAAGAAAAAATCTATAACCTCAATCAAAGATCCCTTTGCTCTTTTAAATACACTCAACACAAATTACAGGAAAAAAAAATGGATGAATTTTCTTTAATTTTATCAAGTATATCTAGTTATGTCTAATGAACTTTAGACAACCATATTTAGTAAAAATTTAAAAATTGAATCAAATAGCAACTTCTTTTTACAAAAGATTCTGATGATGGATAGTATTGCATAAAAACTTGAGGAACTTTTCCATTTTTGTATAACCTAAAATATGATTGTACAGAGTATGTAACAAAGGCTTTATTAGAAAACATAACATAACTCATGGAAGTCAGAAATTGTGTCAATTAATTCACACCATAAATTTAAATATCTAATAATATTTTTATAATGTTTTCTATTACTGAGTTTAAAATCATGGATTTGGAAAGTTATGTAGGTCAAGTACTCACAAACAAAATATATATAGGATTACCCATTCAAAATGACATAAAATAATAACAGCAATAATATGTATTTAGGTAATTATAAATTATTTATGAGGTACATAATATAATAACTTTTATATCTTTTTCTTTCCTATAGCAATATTAAATATTGTTTTTTTTTGTCACAGTATAAAAATTACTTCCTTACAATGTTCATTAGTAAAGTCATTATAAAGCATAGAAATAATTTAAGTAAGAACTTAATATAAAGTAATTTACAATAATAACTTTAGTTTGCGCCATGCAAAATTGCACTTTTTTCGGTAATTGGTCAATAAAAAGGCATAAGCAACTTGATGTAAAATCAAAGAAACACTATTCCGATAACTAAAAATGCTTCAAATCCAACATTTAGCGAGCGTAGACATAAAAATACGACGCAAATCTTGCAAGGCGCTAACAAGAAGGAAGACAAAATGTCAAAAATCAAAGAAAGATAAAATGACAAGAGTGCGGTTCAACACTTGCCAAAGTTGTTAAATACAACAAAATACATACCCGTGGAGTCCGATGGACCCTGGAACATTTTTGGCCGCTTGTTAGGCGGCTCATCTCCGTGATGATCGGCCATGGCTCTGTTTACTAAACGTATGCCGTCCTGAATATTTCGGCCCGCCGATTCAAATAACACATTTATGTCTTATATGTTGAAGAAATAACATTTTAGAGCGATTTGTCATCCATTATAATGTAATTCACCCACATCACAATCGTTCGATGTCCTTCGCACCATTGAAGGCACATATTAAAATTTCTCACTTCAAGTATTCGCCATTACAAAGCTCCGAATCGAAGAGCTACACAGACCCTCTCACCATCTTCCGTCGGAACTAGCACAATAAATGAAAACAATATCACCAGATTTTAGCTATTATTGAAGACTTATTAACTCAATCGAATGACACAATTTCACTTAACACTTTAAAATACACGGAATGGTACAGTTTAAGATAAATGATGTAAGAAAAAACAGAAAATTTACACGACAAATTCCGAAATTCTTCTCAGTCTCTCCAGCGCAAAATGGCGGCTGTTGATGAAAACTTTTTCTAGGCTTGTCAGAAAATGTCGGCCTTTAAAGAAATGAAGCGTTGCCATTGGCTTGCGCATACCACGTGACAACCGGAAGTTCGAACTTGACGCAGGATCGGCCCGTACATTCTGACGTCAACGCGTTCAGAACCGAGTATACCCGAAAATAGCCGAGTCATGTAATTGTGTTTTTTAGAAATAAATCACGGTTTTATTCACCAATAACTCAATTAAGTTATTAATTATGTTAAAATTCGTCAACTTATGTGGATTTAAATGTTATAAACTTAAGGAAACAGCCAATAATGTGTTTAAAATCACCACGTTCAAAGTTTCCCTCCAAATGCCGACTTCGGGAGTGGCTATCAATACGTGTCTCTGGAAATGACTATGGTCCGTATTCAACATAGACAATATACTTCCTCTTTAGTGCGTTTAATTTTAACCATCAAATCGTACATGTTATGCGTTTAGTTCTTAGCAATTACAGACGCTCTTTTACAGGGAATTTTAAATTCGTTATAGGCAAGTAACTTTCTATTGATCTAATTACATCAAAATTTTCTCACACACAATGTTTTTCGGTATTCTAAGTTTATGCTTTCCCTTTCTTTTGTATTAGGTAGACTATTACAAAGGTAAACACACGACTCAGCGTAAAGAGATTGTGTGATGTAAAACTGTAAATACTTGTTTGTCTTGATCTCATAGGTCCTGATTGACTATTGTATTGCTCGAAACATAGTTATTATATATAGTTATTATTCGAGATAAAGTGCGTCTGACTCTCTAAACCTTCTCTAAACTTAAAACTATAGACAACAATCTCTCTCTTTCATTCTATAAAGTGCATGATAAGGATACACTTTTTTTCAGAGCCGGATTTAAGGCTGGCCAGGCGGTCTAGAGCCCGTGGGCCCACCTGCCCTGCCTTAAATCTTCCACAACAGAGAGAACTTAGGCCTCCACAACAATAAGCGAGCATTGTCACCAACTGGGGCAAATTATAAGTGGCTCTCGGGGTGCCAGATTTTAAAATACGCCAGGACCTCCACACCTCTAAAGGGGCCTATTCACCATTCTGCATTGCAATCCGCCATACAGAACTGAAGTCAAGACGCATCTTGCTTGGTGTTGCCGGACGCCATGCAGGCTGCCATATCGGACTCCCGTGAATCCATGCCCTTTAATCCGGCCATTGGAGTCGATTCAGGTATGATTCTCTAAACTTAAAAATAAAATTGAAGAAGTGACTGATGTAAATTTAGTTTTAAGTTTAGAAAATCATGCCAGAGTCGACAACATTTTCAGTGGTATTGATTCTGGCATGATTCTCTATACAGAATGAAAAGGAGAACCTATTGTTAAATTCAGTTTTAAGTTTAGAGAATCACGCCAGAATTGACACCAGTGTTGTCAATTTTAGTTTAAAAAGCCAGAAATATATTTACAAGTCTGTCAATAAAGTCATGAAAAAAAGGCAGTCGCCATCGTCGCTTATATGGTATATTGGAACTAGACTCATCCTCATCTGCACGGAGTTCATTCTCTAAATCAAAACTTAAATTTGACAACAGTGCATCTTTGTCATTTTTTTATACAGAATGAAAAGGAGAGGTTGATGTTAAATTTAGTTTTAAGTTTAGAGAATCATGCGCATTTTTTGAATTTTCAATAAAATACAGCTTACGTTTTAAAGATCTCTTTAATAAAAAGTTAAACAATCTAAAAATAATCTTCCTTTAATAATATTTGTACAATTAAAATCACATATATATTTATATCTTAAAATTAATACCGACAATACGGGGTGGCAGCCCCGTCCGCCCCCGCGCTTCGAGTGCGATTTGCAACGCGTGAGTGACATACGCTGTGTATATGAACGATAAAATATTACGACTTTTTTAAATTGTTAAGTACGTTTGATAGAAAATTCTCAAACTGTAAAAATCTCAGGATTTTCAATGGAAGTCAAGCCTTTTCTCCGGACTTTTGATTTTTTCATCTGGTAACCCTAACTGAGGACTTCTCAAGTCCGGCTTGTTGTGTCTGGTGAAGGCGGTGGTTGTGAACTAGGTTTAAAATTTTATTTGGTGTGGTTTGGAATGGGAGTGTCCGCACTGGGACCATTCCACACTAGGCCCTTTCCTCACCAGGGCCATTCCGCACTGATTCTATCCCACACTGGGCTCATTCCGCACTGTATTCGTCCATACTGGGCCTATACCGCACTGGGCCCTTGCACTTCGGGTCCATTCCGAACTGATCCCATTTAGCACTATGTCCATCTACCATGGCCCCATTCCTCACTGGGTCTATCCACACTGGTGTTATTTTGCATTCACCCATTCTTCACTGTGTCCATTACTTACTGGGCCCTACCGCTCCGGGCTCATTTCGCACTGGGTCCATTCCATCCACACTGGATCCATTTCACACAGGGCCCATTCTCCCACCATGCCCATTCTCCCTGGGACCATTCCGTTTAAGTGGTTTAGGAAGTTCCGACTCCTAAAAAGGAGTGTTTACTTTTTCTATGGCTGATCGAACTGCAGCCTAGCCGTCAACCAGCGGTCGCTGAGTCGTAAGCGCGGCGCGTCGCCTTGCCATAGCATATCCAATCGTACTAGAATTGCTTATTCGTTTACGTTAGGTAGACGCCTGTTTGACAGTAAGCCGAAAGGTGAGTCGGTATCGTTCCCTTTCCGAGTTCATATATATGTATCATCATTATCATCACCAGCCTATTCATGGCCTTCTATGGATGGAATACAATGGAATAGGGAGATTGGGCCGTTACATACTACGTTGGCCCAGAGATTGGTGGGTGCTAACGACTGCAGAAGCACCGAGGAACTCGAGGTAATAAGTTTTTGGTCACCCATCCAATGACAGACCATTGCGAAAGATTCTAAACTCTTTTTAAGGAATAGGGAGATCGGGCCATGACTCTCCACATGGGCCCAGTGCGGTTGGTGGTTGGTATATAATTATGTTTTTTTGCTACCTTAGTCATTCGGCCTTACATAGAGGGCCAGTGTTGCTAGAAAGCCATTTCGCTTTCCCCCCAAAACATACCCGAAATCCCCCCAAAATACAGGTTTTTAAAGCAAAAATCCCCCAACATTCAAAATATTTATTAAAAATACAATATTTACTACAAAATATGTATTTCTGCAATAGCATCCATTACTGGGACAACATCTTCGCACTCGTCTTTGCCACACCTTTCTTAAGCTAGAAACATATTAACGCGTCGTGGAGTGTCGCATCGGTTTCATACACTTATTATGGGTTAGACAGAGACAGAGAGAGAGAGAGAGGTTAGAGCTACGACACGACACGTAAATATGTCTCTAACCATAGTAAATGTATAAATAATAAATAAAATAATAATAAATATTTCCAACACTCACACCAATTGGTGTGCCTAGCCCCAAAGTAAGCACTGTAAGGCTTGTGTTATTGGATGCTAGGGTAACGGATAGAATACATATACTGTACATATATAAGTATATTTATATAGAAATATATATTAAACATCCATGACTGGAGCACAAATGCTCGTATTCCTCACACAAACATCTGCCCCCACCGGGATTCGAACCCGGGACCTCTCGAGTCGGCGACACCATGAAACCCGGCGTACACACCACTCGACCACGGATGTCGTCACCGGTCGGTCGGTCGGTCGTATGAAACCGATGTGCTTCTGGCGCGCTTCGACACGACACGTTAATATGTTTCTGGCTTTAATATTTCTACATAACTTTGTTTTGATAGTGCAGTGCCATTAGCTTACCAAGGTGCAAACAAATTACGTTTTAGCAGAGCAAAGATAATAGATAGTGTTGAATCGATGTGCAGTAACAGCTAAAAGCGCCTACTAACATGCCTGCCGCAGGGACAATCTAGGGTGCACGGCGGTCGGCCCAATATAGGCTTGTCTCTACACACATGCCTGCTATTCAGTGTTCGGGCGCATCTCTAACTAGTCTGTGTTCGGGCGTATGTTGAGCTAAACACACGCGTTGATGATGGTCCCAGTTTTATCAAAAAATATGTTACCGTAAAAAAGGAAATCCTGGGTGAAAAATTGGCAACAGAAACAAATGTATTGTAAATTAATAATGTTTATGATTAGAAAAAAATCCACGCGGACCTGGCAGCAGACGGGACTCGAACCTGCACCCTTCGCTATCCGGGCGAATGCACTGATCAATTATGCTACCGCGGCCCTAACGGCCGTATCGAATTCTTTCTAGCCTTTCTTAAGCTGCAAGACAGCGCCATCTCTTCGCATTATATGTATAACCCACAATGTCAAATGAATGAAATGAAACCTTTAAAACATTTAAAAGAAGATATAGCAATTAAAGTCATAATTTTATTTTTTTAAGCATGTAACTGCTCAATGTTTGAATCTAAAGAAAATATTACAAGAAAAAATAAAAAACCACTATTTCTATTTTTCTAGTAATATTTTATTTAGATTTAAACATCGAGCAGTCACATAGTTAAAAAATGAAAATTAATTAAAAAAATATATAAATAATGTTTGTTTAAATAAAACTAGTTTTTACGGGTTAATGCACGAAACTTTATTTATTTATTGACGTTTCGCAGCCTTTTCAGGTCTGCATCGTCAGAATAATGATTTTTTATTTAAAATTGTCGAGCTACCTTCGAAAGACTTGTATTGAGCGTTCGGTTATTTCATTGGAAGATTTTTAAAATTTTATTATCTATGTATGAATTTATTATTTAATTTCCTTAATAAAGTATTTTATTTAAAATTCTTGTTTGTAATTTTGAGTTTATTTATTTATTTGACCCTAACTACCGTAAACTACCACCGGTTCCAAAATTGGGAGATCTTCCTGAGAAGAACCGGCGAAACAAACTCAAGAGAGGCTTTCTATCTTATTCTTATATTAAATTATGCAAACAAAAAGAACTAATAGTATCTGATGGTCTTGCAGTGTGTGCTCGGGGTTGGGATTTTATCTCCTGTATAATAGGTTCCCAAGCTGGTGGTATATACCAACCATCTTCCCTATTGAAATTTGGATATTTTTTAATCTCAATAGCCTCGCGCATCATTCGAGGAACGAACCGCCGCTCAGCTGCAAGGATCTAATGTAGTGGTTTGGTCCCCCTAATGCATGTTCACACACTGCAGATCTATTTTCGCGCCTATGTTTCATATCTGCGATATGTTCTTTTACCCGAGTCCCTATACTCCTCTTTGTTTGCCCGATGTAGGAGAGCCCGCAGTCGCATTCAAGTTTGTAGACACCAGCAACTTGAAAGGGTATATTGCACTTGACCGGTCGTAGGAACTGGTTGATCTTCTTTGGCGGCTTGAAGTATATATTGATTGAAGCACGCTTCAGAATCCTCCCAATCTTGTCAGTGACTCCTTTCATGTAAGGTAGTATAGCAGGTTGTCGGTCGACTGTGCTAGGTTTGACGCGACTGTGACGGCGGCGTGGTACATTCAGGTTATTATCCTTCAGTACTTGCTCGACATGCTGAAGTTCAGCTGCCAGGTGTTGTTCGTCACAGACACCCCGTGCTCTCTGAAACAAAGAGTTTCCTACGGCAGTTAATTGTTTCGGGTGATGGTGTGAGTCACCATTGAGGTACCTATCAGTATGAGTCACTTTACGATACACAGTATGGCTTAAACTTTGGTCAGGATTCCTGATTAATAAAATATCTAGAAAAGCTAGTTTACTATCTGCCTCTAACTCCATAGTGAATAGGATGTTGGGGTGTATAGAGTTAAGGTGATTTAAAAAGGCAGAAATTTGTTCTGTTGGGAGGATTGTGAAAGTATCATCTACGTACCGCTTATATAGCCTGGGTGTGACAGGTGCTGCACTGAGAGCCCTCTCCTCGAAGTCTTCCATGAAAATATCGGCGACAACAGGTGAGACAGGGGAACCCATTGCAACACCCTCCATTTGTACATAGAAGTCATCCCCCCATAACAGGTAGCCAGAAGTAAGGCAATGCTCCAGTAATACTGCATATTCTATAGGCATATTATTTTCAAGTAGCTTCTTCTTAGTGATTTCAATGCAGTCCTGTACTGGTAGGCATGTAAATAAGGACTGAACATCAAAACTGACCATGATTTCATTGTCCGTGAGATGTTGATCTCCAATCTCATTGACAAAATGGTATGAATCTTTCACAAAGGCTGTTGTGTTACCTCTCAGTGGTGAAAGTAACTTTGCTACGTGTTTAGCCAAACGGTATGTTGGTGAATCAATCTGGCTTACAATCGGACGTAGTGGAGCATTCGGTTTGTGTATTTTCGGTAACCCAGCATTAGGGGGACCAAACCACTACATTAGATTTGATAGACCACAGATCCTTGCAGCTGAGCGGCGGTTCGTTCCTCGAATGATGCGCGAGGCTATTGAGATTAAAAAATATCCAAATTTCAATAGGGAAGATGGTTGGTATATACCACCAGCTTGGGAACCTATTATACAGGAGATAAAATCCCAACCCCGAGCACACACTGCAAGACCATCAGATACTATTAGTTCTTTTTGTTTGCATAATTTAATATAAGAAGGAGATAGAAAGCCTCTCTTGAGTTTGTTTCGCCGGTTCTTCTCAGGAAGGTCTCCCAATTTTGGAACCGGTGGTAGTTTACGGTAGTTAGGGTCAAATAAATAAATAAACTCAAAATTACAAACAAGAATTTTAAATAAAATACTTTATTAAGTAAATTAAATAATAAATTCATACATAGACAATAAAATTTTAAAAATCTTCCAATGAAATAACCGAACGCTCAATATAAGTCTTTCGAAGGTAGCTCGACAATTTTAAATAAAAAATCATTATTCTGACGATGCAGACCTGAAAAGGCTGCGAAACGTCAATAAATAAATAAAGTTTCGTGCATTAACCCGTAAAAACTAGTTTTATTTAATGAGTGATGTGCGTGAAAACCTAAGAAACAAATAATGTTTGTTTTTTTCATCCCACATGTGGGGTGTCTTTATATACTTCGATCACTCGTGTCCAAAGTTCATGCTCCTTATGATCTGCCGCCATCTTGATCGAAATACGTGCGCTGCGTGTGACACACAGATCTCTATATATGTAACAAGCTAGTGTGACTTTGTGATAGCTACTAACCGACTGATTGAGAAATTGGCCCAATCGTGCTACACACGCGGCAACGTGCAGGGCGGTTGGGACAATCTAGTGAGCAAGGGTGGTCGCGCACTCCTGCCGCAGGCCCAACTTAGAAAATTGCAATTTGCCTACACACATCACAATTCAGGAGGCAATTAAGGGTCATCTCCACTCTTACACCCTAGATTGTCCCTGCGGCAGGCATGTCAGTAGCGCGTTTAACGACCATTAATTAACGACTGACTGATTTGCTTGATTTGACATGGACTTGACTGACCTAGACGGAATGGACTGAAGAGTCCTTTTTTGGCTAAAACAAAGACCACTTAGCTTTGTTTTAGGAGTCCTAATCGGGCTCACTGAATGAACACAGTTCAGTGGGCCCGATTCTGGCATGATTCTCTAAGCCTAATATAACAAAATTAAATTTGACCACAGTCTAGATCCTTGACATGCTCTATATCGAATGAGAAAGAGGGACTATTAATAGACGGTTGATCGCAACTTTTTACAGATTAAAAGTTTATGAAGTGCTTTTGCTTTTTAATTAAAACAACCCCCAATTTCCCCAAATCCAAATTTCTTCCCCCCCATCGCTTTAAATGGGGGAATTCCCCCAATCTGGCATCAGTGTAGAGGGCTCAAGTACCATACTTGCGATTACTTCACGAGGTGCAACGTTGCTCCCTTTTTGTTATTCTGCAGCGGTCGAGTAAATCTAAAAATACCCACTTGGGCCTACTATAAAACAAAGTGGTAGTTAAATCCTATATTATTTTCGATTTTTTTTTTCAATACAGGTTAATGAGTATGAATAATAGATTTATTATATAGTATGACCTTATTTCGTCGTTGCGACTTCAAGACCTCCTATGTGTCATTTTCGTCGAAATACCTTTTTTATACGGGTTTACTTCAAATTTTGGCGCTACATCGAAAGCAAAAACTCTCATGTGAATAAGTCTTTTCAATTTCTATTTATTTACTTTATTCCATAGATAAATGATTGGTCTCGCAGCGAGACGAAAAAAAGGTTAATCTCTGTTTTACATTATGATTTGGAAAAATTGTATGATTTCTACCTAAGGCCTAAGCTAATAATAAGTAAAAAAATTAAGGATAAACAAAAGATAAGATGCTTAGGCATTTATTTTAAATAAAAATCACATTTCATATAAGGGTTTAACACCTAATATTTCTAGGCCTGTTTTAACAACCAATCGAGCAGAATGGAAAACTAGCAACCTTTGTGCACCCAAATCACTATCTACATTTTTTATCCTTAACTCATTAAACATTCTATTTATGGGTTTTGCAAGTCTGAAGAGATAGTTTACTAAAATACAAGCTTCATATTCAATATGGGCCCTGTATAAAATATTTTCAAATTTGGCCAACTCTGCTACAACTTCACCAACAACTTCTTCCGTAAGAAGTTTTGGTTCACAAACATCAGGTACAGTTAACCCACAATTTTTTTCTAAGCTCCAAAGCCTACAATGTAGATATTGTAACTTGATTCCACTATCACCTTCACTTTGAAGGACTTTATCCCATTCAAATACATAATCTTTTTGTCTCCTTTGCTTCAAGTCATTAATGATCACTGCAGTGGTACCTAATGTGTCGCATGTCTGATCATTCATTGCCGAGCTCCTTGTATCTGAAAAAAAGTAAGACAACAATAAACATATTGAGTATTATTATTAAACTAAATTCATAAAATACAGTAATATATTAATCAATCTTTATGGTACGCCTCAAAAACAGGCTTTTTTGTCTGCCTAAAAACATAAAAATAATGAAGACAATGTAAAAGTAACAGTTACTTTTAGACTTCTCTTGTTTATCATGCATCTTCTTTTTGGCCTCATCTAATATGTCATTCAAAAACACAACATTCCCAGTTCGAGTACTCATTCCTTTGATTCGTCCAAATTTAATATGCTGACATCCATCAGCACAGTTTTGATTGATTCTCTTCATAATATCAAAGAGAACTGCAAAATGATCTGTTTGTGCATTATCAACAACATACAACATTTTATCGAATTTGTACTTCTCATATCTATCTAATAATGCTGCTAAATCTCGAGACAGATACAGTGTAGAATTATCACTTTTCAGTATTGTAACAGTTTTGTCCCTTACTCTAACAATTTTTTTTCCCATCCCATCTGATTCAATAATATTTTGTCCTTCTAATGAATCCAACAATGTATTTATGGCTCTGCTGTTATAATCAGACTCCCAATGATAATCATCAAAATTTATTCCTAACCTTTCATAAACCTTTTGTAGTTCTTTTATTGTTACTTCTTTTATTTTTCTCCAGTTCCCCAAATCTGAATTACCCTGTTCTATATCAGAAAAGTATTTCCTAGCTTTCTCAAGCACACTTGCATCAGTTAAGGCTTGTTTATTTGTATCAACATAAATATTGTATAAAATCTTGATAGGATCATTTTTTAATTCATCAAGATCAATATTTTTATTTTGTAATCCATATTGCAGGATACCAAACTGTGTACCCCAGTCACCCAAATAGTTAATTTTTGTAACTCTGTTTTTGAAATATTTGCTTATGTTGGCTATGAAATTGCCAATAATAGTTGATCGTAGGTGACCTGCATGAAAAGGCTTGGCTATATTTGGAGAACTAAAATCAATAACTATGTTCATTGGACAAGTTTTAGCAGATTGATCTGGTGAGGTTTTGTTTAGGACATTCTCAATAAAAATATCTCTGTCTATGTATGCTTCTAAAACATCTGGCTTGCATTCAGTATCTTTATACTTTACTCCATTTTTTTTATGGTAAATTTTACTGGACATTTGCACTAGAAAGTTGCTTTTATTATGTTTATATGACACATAAAAGTTAGTAATATTATTAACTGCTGCTCTTTTATCCTCATAATGTAGGCGTATCTAAAAATATTAAAATACTTCAATAAAACATTATTATTTAGATCTCGTTGCGTAAGAAAATTTAGGAACATGTAATTATATAAATGTCGAATGCTTTATAAATTTTAAGAACAAATTAAGTTAAAACTTTAATGAGACCTTATCTAAAACAAGTGTTTTTAGTCGCAAACTCATTGGAAACAGGTTAATTTTTCAACTAAAACAAACCATTCTTGACAATGGGTCTGATTCTCATATCCTAAAATAACAGTACTATTGTCAAGAACAATAGTTATCCTTATCATCTCTCTATGGAATAAAAAGGATAGAATAGAGTATCGTGATCATAACTCCGAATTGGGCCTAGCCAGCCAGGGCTTCGTTCCAAACTCAAGTTTTAAACCTAGGCTCCAGTCGCAACAAATCTCTAATTTGACATAAGTTACATACATTAAATGTCAAAATTGGAACATCAGGGTAAGGATTTTTTTTTCCTTTTCCCATTCTGGGAAGGCAAAGGGTACTGTGCCCATACAGCCAATTCTTAAGTTTAATATTTCAGAATAATACATGCTGTATATAATATTTAAGCAGTAATAAATTGTATTTCTTCTTTTTTGTAGCCGGAGCTAAGTCTTATTTTAGATATCTTGTTTTCAATGTACTTCTTTCTTAGCGTTTTTCTTTTTATAATATTGTCTTCTTTTGTGTTTTTTCAGTAAGGCCGAAGCCAAGTCGTTTGTGTATATGTCAAGATAAGTCATTGTCATTGGTAGAAATGTCAAGAATATTTCGTAATATTTTCAAGACATATCAAGTTCAAGAGTCTGTTAATTAAAAAATGTCCAATTCGTGGGTTATTTTCAAGTCATAATTGTGAGTTCGTAAAGCAAGGTCTTTAATCAAGTTAGAGGTATGAAGATGTGCTTGTAATATGAAACAATCAAAATTTAAATATCAATAACGGTCGTATTGATATATTGATAAATAGGTTTAAAACAAGTTATAATTAGAGCGTAGATTTGGAACGTGGACCAGTGCTGCCAGCCAAGTATTTTCAAGATTCGTCTGAAATATTAATACAAAATATAAAAATGTCAATTATATAGGAAAAATGTGCCAATTCTGGCGTGATTCTCTAAACTTAAAACTAAATTTAACATCAGTCTCTCCTTTTCATTCTGTATAGAGAATGACAAGGATATACTGCTGTCAAATTTAAGTTTAGGTTTAGAGAATTATGCTAGAATCGACACTGTCTATATAACTTTAAGTAATATTTTTATAGGTTGGTTATGGTAGGTAGGTATATGTAGTCATAGGCAATGGAGAAGAAATACAAAAGAATAATTACCTGCCTACATGAGGTTTTATTCAAACTAACTATAGTAGGAGAGCTACTGAACCCTCCTAGTAACGGTCTGTCTGTAAGGCTAGAAATTCTTATAGGTGGTTTTCCAATTATAACACTAGCGCGCATTATGCGGCATAATGCTTATCGTTGAATGTTTCAACTACATCAACGCTTCGCACAATCGAGCATTCGCGAAGTAATGTTTTCGTGTGATGCGTGCAATTGTACCAACTTAGTGACAGAAAATTAAGTGTTTTTTCTTTAAGTTGGTATTGATCGAAATGTTTTATTTATCGTTAGTATTATTATTTATTGATGAAAAATTTTTTTGAAGGTTTCGTTTCATTGTAGCTTTTTTTTAAATAATCAAAGTTACTTCAAACTGTGTTAAAAAATTGTGTGTGTCAGCTCCGACGCACGACTGGAGTTTACTCCTTAAGTTCGATAGTCTAACCAGACGCAAAAAGAGTTTATTTAACTTAAAAAAGATTGATACTGTATGAAAGGGTAAATTAACAAATTAATGAAAATAATATATATAATTATATATTTATTCATTTCATATACATTGTTAGAGCAATTGAAATAGCGCGGTAAAATGATAAGCAGTAATGAGATAAAATTAATTAATAAAATATATTTTCACAAGATAAACAATTTAGTAGACAATAGAGAATAGCGATTGACAAGACGTTCATATAAAGAAATTATAAAAGCTTGACAGTTCGGTAGCCAGCACCAACACTCCTCTTCACTGAACTGCAAGTTCATCATGATAGTCCCAGGCTGTTCCGAAGTTTCAATAGTCTTGGACCAGCCAGAGCCTTGGTCAATATGTCTGCCTCCATAATTTCTGTTGGCAGATACTTGATTTCTATTACTTTGTCTTCAACGCAATCTCTTATGAAATGCATTTTTAAATTAATATGCTTCGACTCGGAAGTCATAGCGTTCTTGCTTAATTTTATAGCAGCTTGATTATCACTCATAACTGTGATGGTATTACATTCGACTCTGAGATCTTTGAATAAATTTTTGATATGAATTGCTTCTTTAGCCGCTTCCGTGAGTGCTATGTATCCTGCCTCTGCGGTTGAGAGCGCTACGCATTTCTGTTTCCTGGAAGACCAGCTTATGGGAGCCCAGGCAAATTTAAAACAGTGACCCGAAAATGACTTTCTGTCGAGTTTACAAGCGCCCCAGTCTGCATCTGCTAGACCAACCAACTGTTCACTAGTTTTACGGTATGTCAGGCCGACAATCTCCGTTTCTTTTAAGTATCGTAATACTCTTTTGGCGCAAGTAAAATGTTCCTTTCCATAACAATCATTGAATTGGGAAAGATAACTAATTGCAAACATTATATCGGGTCGTGTTGCAACTGCATACATGAGAGTACCAACCAAATTTTTGTAGGGCAGTGTTTGATCGCATTGTTCTGCTTTTTCAAGGGTTCTTCCCGTTTCCTAAGGTGTGGAAGTTGCCTTGCAGTCTTCCATGTTAAACCTTTTCAAACAGTCGTTTATCAGCTCTTCCTGATTTAGTATTATTTCGTCTCTCTTGTAAATAAAATTTACGCCAAGTAGTCTCTTTGGTAGCCCTAAATCCTTTAATTCAAATTATGAGTTTAATTATGCGATTATCTTCCGTAATTTATTTGGACACGAGTAGGCGATTAAAATGTCATCGACGTATATTACTAAAATAATATTGTCTCCTCTTTTCTCTGGGTGTTCTAGAGTATAAACGCATGGATCCGCGTCTGAACTTTTGAACCCTAGGTTCTTGAGTTCCATGTCGAGTTTTCTGTACCATTGCCTCCCCGCTTGCTTGAGTCCATATAAGGCTTTAATTAGGCGACATACTTTCTTTCTATTATTTTCCTTTATGTCTCTTAACATATTGACTGTTTTGTTGTATATAGTCAGGTTTTTTTTTGTACTTTCTTCGACCATAATTTCTTTAAAAAAATCTTCTAAATATTCTGGATATTTCATAAAAATATTTTCTTCCAGTTGGCCATTGAGATATGCAGTTGTTACATCCATCTGGTGCAATTTCAAACCTTCTTCCATAGCTATTGCCAGGACTGATCTGATAGAGCTAAGCTTGGCAACGGGCGCGTACGTTTCAGTATAGTCAACGCCTGGACGTTGCGAAAACCCCCGTGCAACTAATCTGGCTTTTCTTATGATGCTATCACCTGGCCCTATTTTATTTTTAAGAACCATTTTATAGTCCACTTCCTTCATGTCATCCTTTTTACCTTCTATTTTCCAGGTACCATTTTTGATATGTGCTTTTATTTCGGCTTTTATTGCATCGTGCCAGTATTCATTATTTTCTTCTTCTTTGTTTGTCAAGTACGATGTATCAATCAGATCTTCTTCAATAACATTTTGAACATAGTCTTCGGTCCACACAGGTGGACGCCTTTCTCTTTGGGGTCTGGATGGCCTCCCATTCTCTGATGCTCTTACAGTTTCAGGTTCGTTCTCTGGTAAGTCATTAATAGGTGTGTCGTCTTCCAGATCTTCGTGACTTTGTATAGTTTCTTCGTTATCTTTAAATTAAATTTCTATTATTTGTTTTTCTATAACATTGTCGTTTGACTTTTCCAGGTGTTGCTCCTCTTCGGATATTATTTGGTCATATATAAATTCATTTTCAAAATACATTTTGTCTATGACCTTAATATCTCTGCTTATCACCACCTTATCATCTTGAGGTATGTATACTCTATAAGCTTTTACTGTTAGCGAGTACCCCATGAATACACCTTCTTTCGTATTTTGGGTCAGCTTACCACGTTTGTTCTTCTTTAAAACAAAAGTTTTTCTGCCAAACACCTGCAGGTGATTACCGGACGGTTGGCGGCCTACCCATCTTGTAAACGGTAAATCCCCGTTCAGTGCTTTTGAAGGGCTACGATTCATCAGATAGTTGGCGGTAGCAATGGCTTCTGCCCAAAGTTTCTTGGGAGCATTTGCTTCAGATAATAAACACCTGGCCTTCTCTAATAAAGATCTATTTTTCCTTTCGCTTACTCCATTTTGTTGCGGAGTATATGCTGCGGTTAGCCTTCTTTGAATACCGTTAGCTTTCAGGAAATTGTCAAATTCTTTGTTGCGGTACTCCGTGCCGTTATCTGACTGTAAGTATTTTATCCTTTTATTGTGAAAATTTTCAACTTGGTTTTATATTCTTTAAAAACTTCAAGTACGTCACTTTTATTCTTAATGAAGAATACATAACAGTATCGGGTGTAGTCATCGATAAACGTGACATAATACTTGGAGCCCGCTGGAGTAACGCATTCAAATGGACCACAGACATCGCTGTGTATTATAGTTAATGGCTCAGTTGTTCTGGTATTTTCAGATTTAGAAAATGGCGCTCTAGATAATTTTCCTTTTATGCAGGTTTCGCAAGTTTCGAAGATATCGTTGTCTGTGAAATTTAATCCGTGCATAAGTTCATCTTTCATCATCTGTTTGAGATCTCTTTCATTTATGTGTCCCAATTTCCGATGCCATTCCATAACGTCATTTTTTGTCTTTGATGAGTAATACGAGGTTCCCTTTTTGTCAAAATCAAGGTAGTATAGTCCGTTTTTTCTTTCAGCTGTCAGTGAGACATCTCCATCTTTTTCAATGACATAGGCCTTGTCCTTTTCAAATACGACCTTATTTCCTCTATCTGCTATTTTTGCTACAGACAGTAGATTCACTGACACATCTGGAACGTACAGGGTTTCACAAAAAGTGTAATTTTTATTCTCTTTACTAAAAGTAATATCTCCCTTTCCTTGAATTTTCCTTGTGTACTGGTTTGATGCCAGTCTTAGGGTTCCTTCTTCTGCACTCATTTTTGAAAATAATGACTTGTCGCCGCTCATATGGGATGAGCAACCGCTATCTAAACACCAACTTGTTTTATTTGTATCAGGGTTGGCGATATTCTAACACATGTTGTATGTCTTGTCTTTTTGCTTATCTTTCTTGTTATCGGCCTTCTTTTTGCTCCAGCATGCATCAGTTGAATGACCAGCCTTTTTGCAGTTGTGGCAAAATTTATTGTTTTTCTTGCCATTCTTTTTGGAGTAATAAGCTTCGCCACTGCCTTCATTACTATGAGCATTTTTGCGGGCTTCACTCTCTTCCAAAATCTTAATTTTTAATTCATCTGGATATGGCAAATTATCGCGGGTCTCAATAGCGATACGGAAGTTCTCAAAATTTATAGGTAAACTGTATAGCATCATAATGCTCAATAGTTCAGGATGTATTTTGATATCCATGTCTTCCAATTTATCCACAATATCCATGAAATGGTTAAGATGTTCACGTAAGTCATCGCTTTCTGACAGCTTCTTAAGAACCAACTGTTTCAAAAGAGTAGCCTTTCGAGCAGGGCCTGTACTTTGATATATAGACTTTAATTTATCCCATACCGCTTTTGACGTAGTGCAGGTTTTGATTTGCTACAGCTCAGATGGTGATAACAAAAGTAGAATCTCAGCTCTTGCCTTTAGATCCTCCTTGAGAAATGCCGTCTTTTCTGCCGCATCTGCACCTGATGGCAACGTTTTCTCCCCACTTACGATGTCCCAGTAGTCATTTTTAATCAGTACGGCTTGCGCCTGCATACACCAGGTATCGTAGTTGGATTTGGATAGCAACTC